ATCACTGTACTTGGAAGTTGTGATGCCTAGGACATTTTGTCCTGCTGCAGGCTCAGAGTGAAAAGGGTTAATCATGTTTTTTTTTTAATTCTATTCTTAGGTTTGAGATGCTTGATGCTGCAAAGAACAAGATCCGGGTGAAGGTCAGCTATTTAATGATTGCTCTGACAGTGGCAGGATGCATCTATATGGTCATTGAGGGCAAGAAGGTAAGAGCTGGCTCCTCTCTGCCTCTGCATGCTCTCCCCAGAGACGAGCAGAGCGGTGATTGGCTCCACCATCTGGTCTGAGAAGGGGAAGGTCTAAGAGGAAGCCACTTCCTATCAATTTACTGACTGATGCTTACTGCATGCCAAGCTCTTCTGAGTGACCTCATTTGCACCTCACCACAGCTTTGCTAGGTAGATGCTGCCATGAGATGAGGAGACCGTAGCTTAGGAAGCTTCAGCAGTGGGCTGGTGAGGGGCTCAGTAGCTCTTGTGCACAGGCCTGATGACGTGAGTTTAATCCCTGCATCCCACAAGATGGAAGGAGAGAATCAGCTCCTGAGAACTGTCCTGGAATGTCCACATGTACTCCGTAGCACATGTGTGCCTGCGCACCACAAAAAATAAAACAATAGTTTGTTGTTTTGTTTTGTTTTTTGAGACAGGGTTTCTCTGTGTAATAGTCCTGACTGTCCTGGAACTCACTTTGTAGACCAGACTGACCTCAGACTCACAGAGATCCACCTGCCTCTGCCTCGAAAGTTTTGGAATTAAAGGCATGCACCACCACTGTCTAGCAAAACAATAATTTTTAAAGTAAGTTTTGGCAGCTTGTCCTAAGACATCCATCTCCCTAGTGACAGAAGTAATTTGAACCTAGATGTGATTGAGGTAGGAGTAAACTTGCTCCCCAGTACTGAATGTTTGTTATGCCGCAGCAATTGTTAAACTCACTGGATGTGAGAGCCTAAGAGAGAGGCTTTCTCATCACCATGGTTTGTAATGAGGGAACAGATGCACCACGCATTTTCCAAAACTCACCTAGTAAGTGGAGAGATAAAAACTTAGATTAAAAAAAATTGAAAGAAAAACAAAACTTTAGATCTTATTTTTCATATTACCAAATGACCTATTAAACTATCTTTTTATTAAGTAAGTTACTTTGGGGGCTGGGGAGATGGCTCAGTGGTTAGGACCACTTGCTGCTCCTACAGGGGACCCGGGTTCAGTTCCCAGCACCCACATGGCAGCTCACAACCATCTGTAACCCCAGTTCCAGGGGATCTGTCTGGTACCCTCTTCTGGCTTTCACAGGTACCAGGCACACATGTGGTTATATGTACGTACATGCAGGCAAATATTTATACCCATAAAATAAAAATAAGTAAAATCTAAAGTGTGTGTGTGCATGCTTCTAAATTTAAGAGCACACCTTAAGTATCATGTCTAAATCTGTGTCATAGCTGTCACATACAGATATCGTTTAACTGTTACATAATTTAAAAGATTCTTAATCTGTGATGGCGCACACCTTTGATCCCAGCACTGAGGAGTACAGGCAGGTGGATCTCTGAGTTCGAGGCCAGCCTGGTTCCAGGACAGCCAAGGCTACACAGAGAAACCCTGTCTAGGAAAAAAAAAAAAAAAAAAAAAAAAAAGATTCTCCTAAGGACGTGCTTGTCAACTGATCTCCCTATCCTGAGCGGCTCCAGAGTGAGAAGGAAGTAACTGTTGACTCACTGTGCCTTGCAGTCACATTAAGAATAGTAGCTGTTTCAGTCCGGCCTCACAGGAGCACAAAGGGGCAAGTGTGCTGACCTGAGTGAAGTTCTCTTGGAAATGAGCCCGCCTACTTCACTTTTCCCGTCTCGCCATTTGACCTCTCATTCATAATTCTCAGACTGAAACCTTCAGAAGCCTGGGGAGAGACGTGTGGATTTCTAGACTTCTGAGAAATACTTAGTTAAAAATCTCCAGAAGCAAGTAATTCCCCTAGGGTGGTGTGTGCTAAAATGAAAACCATTAGAAGAGAGGAGTTAGCTACCATCATGCTTTGTCCTTGTCATTGGCATTCTTTTCCCTTCCTTTTCCTCCTCCCACCAAATTCTTCACATGTGAAATAACATGGGTGTCAGAAAATTCCAGCTTCTGTAGCTACAAGATTCACGGACTTGTCAGGAAAACTGGTCTGATTATATAAGCTTCATAGAAATTTAACAGTCCACACTGAAGGAAGCCAGAAGAATGGAAGGGTGCTTCCCCCACTGTCATTTGCTTTGAAAGGGTGGAGTTTTGGGTTAGATCATTCTAGAAGTCATTAGGGGTAATATTTTGGTAAACCTGGGATTCCCAAAGCTGAATGTTTTTGTTAAAAGAGAAGAAGGGTACTAGAAAGTGCACATAGAAGTTAGGGAAGGAGAAATGAAAAGCGAGATGGAGATGGAATGGTGTTTCACATTATAAAGAAGAGTGAAGGGCGCCAGGAAAAAGAGGTCATAAAGGCAGAGAAGGGAGAGCCATGTACTTCTCTCCTGGGATGGGCTGGACTCTCGAGTCAGAGAGAACAGAAGGTGTGTACAGGACACTGCTGTGCCCAGCGTCCAGGCAGCGGACGCGTTCTGGCCAAGTTAGCCTGCTGTTTTCATCACCGGGGCGGGACATCCTGCGAGCCTGCCATCATCAGCTCTTCAATTCTGTTTCCTTTTAGGCTGCAAAGAGACATGAGTCCTTAACAAGCTTGAACCTAGAAAGGAAAGCCCGTCTGAGAGAGGAAGCAGCTATGAAGGCCAAACCAGAGTAGAAGTATTTGGATTTGGAAAACCTGGGAGAAAGGTTGTAATAACAAGCCTGCATTGGAAAGAACGTGATACGAGACACACTTTGCAGACATACGCTTTGCACAGATTTATTCCACTTCCCTATTTCTGCTGTAGAGGAACAAATAAATTTTCTTAAAGAATGACTTGTGTTTTGTTGCTTTGAGCCAAGTAAAACATAGCCTCCTCACTTTCCAGAGAAAGTAGAAAAGAGGCACCTAATTTCAAATTTAATATTAGCTCTCTTTGGAGCATCAGGTACCCTACCTAACTTCTACTCACATACCAAAGTTGACGTATCTGAGGCCCAAAAAGTGTGGGTCTTCTCTGTTCTTTATACAACATCTGAAGGGACAATTAGACTAGATGGGTACACTGTCCAGATGCATGTTGGGAAGCCAGCCTTCCAAATGCCAGGGTGCCTTTGGGAAGACTGGCTCCCCAGAGACTCAAAAGCAGCCAGACCACACACTGTATTTATTGTCTAGCATGCCAGTAGGCGGAGGTATTTAGACGAGCCTTTGAGAAAGAATGCCCTGGCACAGTCATGAGAGTAGTCTGGCCAAGAGTTATGAGGTGTTTCTCATTCATCATGGAATTGCTGGGAGCCAGCTGCCAGCCATCTCCTAGTTCATTGTTTGGCTTCCAGCTAGCCCCTTTCCTACTCCCAGGGAATTAAATTTTGTACTTATGAAAATACCATCCCATTCTTGTTTGTTAATGTTTCATTAGCCTTCTTATGCTACCATGGTGTATAGTATTCAGGTGGTTTCTGTTATAAACATTTCAGTGACTCTCATGTGCCTCCGTCATGCTAACAGATGACAGGTCATTGTAGCCACCCAACACACTACTTCTCAGAGTTAATGGTTGTGATTTTAAAAGTACTATGTGCTACTGTCTGGGAACTTAATGAGCTATATTAGCAATGGAATGCTGCCAATAGCTTCATGATCTAATAATCATGGTCATGATGCTGTCTGTCTATACACTATTTTTTTTTTTTTGCCTTTGCTTCACTTTAGGTATCAAATGCTTTGATTTTTGTCACTTGTGAATTTATTATCAAAAAACAGTTTCTTGTACAATTTTAGAAAACTGATTTTTCTTGAGTATTTTGGGACCCCCCCCTCCAAGCCCATGTTTTAAGTATTGGTAAATTCTGGTGTAGGACTTCCTTATGGAACCTTCCTTCATATAGCAATGCCATTTTCACTGAAGAGCAGTGAGAAGTCTATCTTAAAGCCTGTGATAAAGATACTCCACCAATTTATGCAATCTTTTTTTTTTTTTTTTTTTTTTTTGGTTTTTCGAGACAGGGTTTCTCTGTGTAGCTTTGCGCCTTTCCTGGAACTTGCTTTGGAGACCAGGCTGGCCTCGAACTCACAGAGATCCGCCTGGCTCTGCCTCCCGAGTGCTGGGATTAAAGGCGTGCGCCACCACCGCCCGGCTTATGCAATCATTTTTACTGTGTGTCATTCTCTAGTCAGTAACACAGTGACTATTTCTTTACGGGTCTAAACTCTTTAATAATTTTTTCACATTGTTTTTATCTTGTCTCTGTGTTGGGGGCTATATATTCATGCCACAGAATGAATATTGAAATCCAAGAACAAGATGCAAGAATGTGTTCTCTCCTCCTCAGGTCCCAGGGGTAGATCGTGGGTCATCAGGATTAGCAGCAACTACTTCCACCCACTGATTCATTGTACCCACCCAAACTTAAATTTCTTGGTCAGAATTTCAATTATGCCCCTAACTGATCTTGCATCTTCCAGTGTAATCAAATACACCAGCATCTTGACAGTCATACCCTACAAGTAATTCTAATATATTTCTCAGAACGTGTCAGGAAGATAAAATATTGCCCATGCTGCTTTCAGTTAAAGTACTGTAGTAGTATTTTTTTCTTAATCTCAGGGTTTTTCATCTGCATGTTTTTCTATATTTTCTATATAAGCCCTGTGTGGATAACAGTAAATATATAGTTCTGAGATGTTGGTGCTATAGAGACTAGCATAGCTGCCTTTCACTTAGTATGTGGAGCTACCGTAAAATATTTCTTAGTCAATATTATAGTCTGGAGAATTTATTACTAAAATTTATTGACAAAAAGTAAGGAATGAAGTTATGGTATCATTCATTGTACAGTAAATATCGAGTCCTCTAGAAAAAGCCAAGACTACAGAGACAAAACTTAAAGCCTGATCTTAGTGTTTATTGTCTAAAAAATACATGGCCCATGAAGCCACCTCAATTGCAAGTTGATAACTGTACACTTTGAGCTTTATAAGAAACTGTAAAAAGGAGGGGGAAAAGCTACCTCAGCTGCTCACTGAGGTGGCAGGCAGGCAACCATAGTATTTATAAGGTGATGCCTGAGTTGAGAGTGTTGGGCAGGAGTTAGGAGGTCTAATACTGAAGAGCGGTCACAATCTTCACATGTAATTTGCCTGTCACAAAATGGTACAATCTAACCAAGTACTTAAGGAGATTTTTTTTTTTTCAGTTAAAAGTTTAAGATGCTGAGGAGGTAGAGGCAGGTGGATCTGTGAGTTTGAGACCAGCCTGGTTTACAAGGCAGCCAGGCCTACAGGGCTACAGAGAAAGACCCTTTCTCAAAAACAATGTAAGATTCTGGGCCTGCAAGATGGCTCGGGTAACAAAAGATCCTGTTGAGAAAGCCTGGCCTGAGTTCACTACCTGGAGCCCACAGAGGAAGGAGACTCAGCTCCTGAGAGTCGTCCTCTGACCCCACAACACATGCCTAAGTGTGAAGACTTGTAGAATGAACCGGACTACGACTTGTCCCCAACTTGACAGATTAATTTGGCAATTTGATGTCCCATCATGTAGAATAACACCAAAAATATTCAAGTGACATGTAAGATATTGCCAATCCTCTCATTTCCTCCCTAAACTCATGCCGCTGTCCTTAATGACTTCCCAAACCAGAAACTACAAGTTCCCCTTCCCCACAGTCATCCTGCTCTGTCAACCTTCTAAATATTCCAAATACCCTCCCCACTGGGAAAGCTGTGGAAAGAAAAAGAATGAGATGCTGTCCAGGCATGGACACATGAGATTGCCAACAGGTCTCAAGATTTAAGAATCAGAAGCCGCAGTTTCTAGATTTGCTTTTACAGTGGTCTCATTTCACAAATGAAAATGCCTCATACTCATACAATCAAAGACAATTTGAAAAAAAAACTACAAAACCACACTGAGCTTCAGAGAAATCATCCTTTCTATCTTGTTTCTAATTCAACTTGACTCATCGATTGCCAGAGACTTCAGCAGTCACTTGTCCACAGTTTAATTGTTCTGTCATTTTCTAATGCTGCTGATGCAATGATGTTTTCTGTAGGGTGACAAGCCGCAGAGATCACAACATCTGTGTGGCCTTGCAACTTCTGTATAATCTCTTTAGTCTGAAGGTTCCAGATGTAAACCATGTTGTCCTCCGAGCCGGACACAATCCACTTCCCACCAGTAACAGAGAAACTGGCAAATATGCAGTATTTCTCATTCTTATGGCCAGTGTACATCTTCAGGCATCTGCCTCTGCTGTAATCCCACAGTTTCAGAGTATTGTCCAAAGTTGCAGTGAGAATATATTTTCCATTTGGAGAAAATTTTACAAAGGACACAGGAGGGTTACCCTCATCAGCAATTGTTTTTAAACACTGGCCTGAGGCAGCATCCCAGATCCTACAAAGACCATCATAGCTCCCCGATACTATCAAGGACCCATTGCAATTAAAATGTACGGCCGAAATAGGGTCCGAATGGGCAGACAAAGTCTTGAGGCACTTTCCTGTTTTCACCTCCCATATTTTCACACTCTCATCAAAAGATCCCGAAACGATGAGGTTGGATGGTGGGTTGAAATTACAGCAGAAAACGAAATCACTGTGTCCCTTCAATGTTTTCAAACATTTTCCAGATCTTACATCCCATAACTTTAGAGTCTTGTCGTCTGAGGCAGAAACGAGACGACTAGAATCTGAAGACCAGGCAACATCTGATATTTCCAGATTATGACCACGGAGTGTTTTCTTACATTTCCCATCATATGCTCCCCAAATTATAATTAGTGCATCAGCAGCAGAACTTGCTAGCCATTCTCCATTAGGACTAAATTTAACTGATGAGACAGCCGCCAAGTGGCCCGCAAGAGTAAGTCTGACAGCATAGTTGGGTTTCTGAAGCTCTTCCTCGCGCTGGGTAGCAGAGAGGGCCGACTGTGCTCCCTCTGCTGGGGGATGTTCGGTCGCCATAGCTTGGGCTCTACAGTTTGCGTAGGCGTCCTGCCTCGAACCTTGCAGAAATTGAAACCTGCCTTTCGAAGGCGCACGGTTTTGACTGTAACATGGGCTCGTCTTTAGGTTCGGCACAGAATCCGCAGCGAGGTTTGGACCACTCTCCTCTCGCTTTCTTCGGTAGAGTCCGAGATCACAGTGGTTCTGACATCGGTACTCTTGCTGGGTGAGGTTAAAGGACTAGGCCGTCCCTCGGGGGGTTAAGGGGCTGCACAGAAAGTCCTCTTCCACGCCCTCCCCAGATCCAAAAGACCTGAGAATCATGAGCGACTGAGGACGCCACGCTAAACAGGATTTGAGAGGCTCAAGAGCCGGGGACGCACCACAGGGAAGGTCCACATCCACCAATGGGACCTGCTGGGTGGCGCCTGCGCTGAAGGAGGCCAGCATTTGCTTCCGGTCCTCCTGGACCCTGAAAGCTGACGCTCAGTCCGGCTTTTCCCTACGAGAGGCTAGGGTGCAGGAAGGGGCGCATACCTCGGACACTTAAGGAAGACTGTGCACATAGCTGGTCTCTGCCCCTGCCCTCCTCCAAGGCTGAATGTGGCGGCCACAAGGTCTGCTTACTGTGGCTAGGGAACTGGAGCAGATCGAATGCACAGATCGCAAAAGGAGTGGATTAAAACTCTTTTATAGACGTTTAGGAAACATTAAGACCCACATCACCACCTCCACCAGTCGGTAGTAGCGCACGCCTTTAATCCCAGTACTAGGGAGGCAGAGGTAGATGGATCTACAGAATGAGTTCCAGGCCAACCAAGGCTATACAGTGAAGCCCTGTCTCGAAAAACAAAACAAAACAAAACAAACGAAAAAACAAGGTTATGATGAGAGAAATCAGCAAACCTTTGGTTTTCAGCCCGCATAGTTTAGGCTTCTGTAGAAAATAGAGGTTCTTGAGATGAAAAAAAGGACAGGTTGGTGGGAAGGTTTTTCGGATCTCTGTCTTGTTAATAAGACAAAATTACCTGCCACTACCCTCTTTAGCACTACGGAAACATTTTGTTTCGGTGCATCGTTTTTTACTGGTGCTTTGTAATACACTCTCATAGAACAACCTGGAAAAGAACCCTTGCTCCACTTCCCAAGTGTTGGGGCTACAGGAATGGAGAACATCACTCCCATTCTTGAGGGGGCAGAGACCGAAGTTATAGGTTGGATTTCACTGTAATCCAGACTAGCCTAGAATTTAAAGCAACCTGTTTGCCTCAGCTTTGAGAGTACTGGGATTACAGGGTTGCTACCACTCCTGACTGCCTATCTTAGTCTGGTTTTTTCCTTTTCTCAGTTAATGTAGGTTCTGGGAACCCCACCTCCCTTCCGCCCTTTAGTTTTTCAAGACAGGGTTTTTGTGCATAGCCCCGGTTATCCTGGAAATCTCTGTAGACCAGGCCAGCCTTGAACTCAGGGATCTACCTGCCTCTGCCTCTCAAATGCTGGGATTAAAAGGCTTGCACCTCCACTAGTAGGTGGTGTTGGGAAACTTCATTCTCTGGAATAGCAGCAAATTTTCTTACCCGATGAACTCCCTCTATATTGTGTACATTGTGCGGGGCTATGGGTGGTTCAGAAGCCGCCTTGTGAGTTGTCCTCATCACTGCCAGGCATGGTGAAAGGCAGGTCTCTTTATCCACTGAACCGTGTGCTTCCTTTTTTGAGACAGCTTCTCATTCTAGTCCAGACTTGAACTCGTGTCAATTTCAACCCAGACTTGTCAGTGCTAGGATGAACAGGGATGAGCCACCAAACCTAACGAAAGTACTTCCTTTCTCCAGATAGCATGGGTTACAGTGACTTTTTTTTTAGGTGTAAGGTTTTCTCTGCATGTACGTGTGCACTGTCAGAAGAGGGCATCCGATTATCTTGGAACTGGAGTCAGATAGTTGTGAGCTGCATTTGGATGCTGGGAATCCAACCCAGGTCCTCTGAAGAGCGGCCAGTGCAGTGGTTCTCAACCCCTTAACATACTTCATGTTGTGGTGATCCCCAACCAATTATTTCATTGCCACTTCATAACTGTAAATTTGCTGTTATGAGTCAATGTAAATACCTGATGTGCAACCCCTGTGAAAGAGTCGTTTGACCCCCATGGGGGTCATGATCCACAGAAAACCACTTAGCCATCTGAAGCCTCAACTACTGTGATTTCTGATACAGGGTGGTGGTCAGAAACCTTATTATCAAAACTTTCCATTTTTATTAACTCATGTAAAAGGAAATTGCATAACAAATTTAGGCTTTATTTCAAGTAAATATGTATTCTTCTAATAACTAGGAAGCCAAAAGGAAAAGATGGGTATAACCTAAGAGCTAAGAGAGAGGATGGTGGTGCTGGATGTTTAGCCCACTACACACATCACAAGCAAGAGGGATAAAAGGTGCACAGATTTGATCATTAAGACACGGCTTTTACTTTGAAGAGTAAAACACTTCTTGATGTGTAGGATACCTTGTTTATAAATAGCATCAAGGACTTATGGAAAGAAAAGCCGACTAATCATTACTCATGTTCAAGTATTAACAAGCTGTCCTAACAAATAACTAGGATTTGCTTAGCTCTTTGAGGAGTGGGCTTTGGTGACAGTGTTCACCAACAGGGAATAGTAAACCAAAGGTAGTAGCAATCAGAGTGGGACCCTGAGTTCCTAGGCAGGGACATGCCTATCCTTTTATAGCAAACTACCCTTCTCAAACAACAAGGTGACCTCTACGTTTTAAGTTTTGTTCACTGCAGAAATCAAACAGTTCCTCTAAACTGTCCCAAGTCTCCAATTTATAGCACAAAGGCTGATGTCCCTGCTCTTGAGTACTTTGTAAATAGAAAATGTACCAGACTTACCCATGGCCTTGGGAAGAAACCTCCATTCTGTGTGAACTGTTTAAACTGGCCTCTTTAAAGCAGCTCTTCAGACTACAAACCCAATTCCTACGCCTCTACCAATCAGGAAAACTTATTCATACTAAATAGGACATTTGCCATGAACATTAGCTAAAACCAGACATTTTTAAAGCTGAAGATGGCACAATTAGAGTGTTGATTGACCCATAAATTTAAAAGCATCATCTTCAGCAACTCAGTAATCACTGGTGACCTCTTTCCAAGACACATCATAATCACATTACCCTGGTAAAATCCATGCTGTTCAGGCCACTCCCAAGTCCGGCATTACTTTGTCCCCACCACTGGTCTTCTGGGTTTTCATTTTCTCCTTACCTATAGCCTGGATGATGGTTCATAAGGCAGTGACCATTAGAATCCCTCTTCTGCATTCCACTTGCTTCCTTGGACTAAGGGCATATGGATAAAGATATGTAAAGCACAACTTTATTCTCTGCAAAAACACTACAGTTACACAAGAGCCTTTAGAATTCATAATTTTTCCAACGTGGGGGAAACTGGCGCCTGCCCATAATTCCAGCACTCTGGCCGTGGAAGCAGGAAGGCCACTTCGAAGTTATCCTCAGCTATAAAGCAGTTTAAAGGCAGCCTGGGCTTCAAGAGACCCTATCAAAAAAAATACTGCCCCACATACACCCCCCAAATGTAGGTGAGATATGGGCAAAAATCAAGCTTGTAGTAAATCTGTACAATCAGCAATTGTGTAAACAGCTTGCAAAAACTGAAGCTATTTTGATTAAATTTTCACAAAAATGCCTGACCAGCATATCTCAAAAGGAAAGTGCAAACAAACGAACTAAAGAAATATACTTCGTATTCATTTGTCACATAAGCCTGGATAAAGAAAACATTCTCCTGCAATACACACAGTACATGAAAATGGAAAATCTCAACAGCCTCACCACCTGCTTCCATATCAGTTGGATATATTAACAAAACTTTTTAAAATTATTTAACTTCATTTTATGTACATTGGTGTGAAGGTGTCAGGCCCCCTAGAATTGGAGTTACAGAATTGTGAGCTGCCATGTGGTTGCTGGGAATTGAACGCAGGTCCTCTGGAAGAGCAGTCAGTGCTGTTAACCACTGAGCCATCTCTTCAGCCCAACAAACTTTTAAAACTTTAAAATATGCCAGAATAGATTGATATGTTATCTGCTATATCAAACACACTAGGGTGTGTATTAGCCTACAAAATAAGCCCCATAGCTTTTCTTTCTCTTGTTTTGATGCCACAGACTTCTGCTTTGGCATTGTTTCTTTTTGTAAATTTCAGGTCCTTTTATGTATCCTCAAATGAGACAGTTTATGTTGAAACAACTGCTTTAAGAGTTATCAGTTCTGATTTCAGTCAACTGTGTGAAAGAATTCTTCTGAATTTTCTTTTGTAATCAAGCACCCAGTACTATCACAGATGGATATTCCTCATACATTATTTATTGAAAATTTACTATGTGCAAAGTATTCATCCATGGCCCGGCAGAGTGCATTTAAATACAAAGAATCAACAGCCATTCCAAATCAAGTGTAGGAACACTCTTGTGAAAGGGCACATGATGACCAAAACATTTTGAGGTAGGAAATGTCCAACAAGTGAAATAAAGGGAGATGTCTACAGGAAAATATACTTTTAAGTAATAGTAGGCTGAGCTAAAGTTACACCCACGGTGCTGACTATAAGAGTAATTATTCTGCAACCCCAAACTTTTCCCTGTCAGTACCTTCTATATTTTCACTTGAACAAAAAAAAGTTCTATGAGTTTAGCCACTATGTTACTAAACTGACAATCAATCATTTGAATTTCTTTTAAACCTCTGTTAGACTTGTCTGGCTGTATATAATTTTAGTACTACAGAAGGTGAAAGATGCTTGGGAACAAGGGAGTCAATTCATCTATCTGAATATGTAAATTAACAGCAATTGTGATATATGAGACAGAGCCATTTTTAAGTATTGCCGATGAGGAACAGATAGGAAGAATGATCCAATACAGAAGGATTGCCCACCGATGACTACTAAAATCTAGCACAGGACTTCCTGAGCACAGAAATGTTGCATGACCATGAAGAACAGAACTTGCGAAGTTCTCCTTTGGACAGCCACCATCTAAGAATTATGACAATGGAGCAAAGAAATGCATTGTCTTGATCTTGCCATATATTGATAATTATCCATCTTAAATAGCAACTAGAAGACTGATTAAAGGAAAGCCAATTACCTTGCATACAACAGACACTAAATAACATGACTTGCTTTTATTTGACCCAAAGGAAAACAGACATTTCTGACAACTCTTAGCTGAAAACAGAATTTCTTCACCACTAATATTTCTTAATTCTTTCTTACCTCAAGCATCCAGATGATATTATGTCTAACGGTAATTTGATACTTTGAAAATTTTTAAGGTTTTTTTTTTTTTGGTTTTTCGAGACAGGGTTTCTCTGTGTAGCTTTGCGCCTTTCCTGGAACTCACTTGGTAGCCCAGGCTGGCCTCGAACTCACAGAGATCCGCCTGGCTCTGCCTCCCGAGTGCTGGGATTAAAGGCGTGCGCCACCACCGCCCGGCTTATTTTTAAGGTTTTTTGTTTGTTTGTTTGTTTTTCAAGACAGGGTTCCTCTGTGTAGCCTTGGCTGTCCTGGAACTTGCTCTGTAGATCACGCTGGCCTCAAACTCAAGAGATCCCCCTGCTTCTGCCACCCAAGTAATGGAATTAAAGGTGTGTACGCCGCCACCACCCAGTCAAGATTTGTTTTTATCTGTGTTGAGTGTTTGCTCACAGGTATGCATGTATATCACATGTACACCAGAAGAGGGCTCTGGATCCAAACTACTGTCCTGTTTAAGATAAGTACCTCTCTTAACAGAAGAGCCATCTCTCCAGCTCTAGCAATTTAATATTTTAAAAATGTTAAATATAAGCCAGGTGGTGGCACAGGCCTTTAATCATAGCACTTGGGAGGCAGAGGCAAGTGGATCTCTGAGTTCAAGGCCAGCTTGGTCTACAAAGTGAATTCTAGGACTGTTGCACAAAGAAACCCTATCTCAAAAAAACAAAAACAAAAAAGTTAAATATCTACTTTATTAAACATTATTCTAATGTTTTAGTACTCATTCTTATAACCTGTCATTTCCTAACAATAAAGAATATTACAGAGCATCGTTATATTATATATATTATAGTCAATATTACACTTAGTCACATCTGATCTCCAATTACTTTTAACTAATTTTGGATGATGGGAAAAGGTAACCCAAATATTTCCCAACCATGCAGACAGACAATCTGTTTACTTCAAACAGAAGGAAATGGTCCTACTAATTTGAGACGTTAAAATGAAACTGCAAATGAGATAATTTTTGAATGTAGGAGGTAGTACACAGTTATGTATGTATGTATCCTGAAAGGAAGCAATACCCTTCTCAAAAAGCAACTCCTTTTTCTTATTGTACATTACTAAACAGAATTTCCAACTTAAGTAAAAAGCTTTAGCCTCTAAATACAGCTAAAATGACTTGCTTGTTGGTGTGACAATTTTCACAAAATTAATCAGAGATAAAATAAATCCCAAAAAACCTGTTTTACAATGCAGCCCCACGTCTTGGGGTCAGACAGCTGAAATGTTTATTTAGCACTACAGAAATCAATCAAAGTTGCCGGTAGGTAGTCATGTACAACAAAGAGTTTGGTTGACAAATTATACTTACATATGTTTTCTTAGGCATAATCAGCAGCAACTGGAATAATTCATATTTATTATGGACAGTAAGGCTGAAAAACACCCAGAGTCCAATAGCTTTGTCTGGTACACAGAAGAAACAACCCTAGTGCAACAGTTTCCAGCAGGGGACTGACTATTGTGAGGGCAATAGAAAAATAGCTGATTGGTGACAAGAACGAAGTGTGTCAGAGAACTACGTCTCCTAATCTTGCTCTTTCTAGCCAGTATCTGCACTTTCTGGGTTATTTCTCCATTCAATCATATCTACCTGTTGGTCCTTTAGGTTCCAAATACCTACACCTCAAATTCTCAGAATGCAACTTTTTTAAACCAAAGTTCTCAGTATACAATACATACTTGAAAAGTCTGAAGGAAGACTTTTCCTTCCAGGGAAAGGTAAAGAAAACAAAGCCACTTTGCCCTGATCACTATCTAAAAACCCTAAGAGTTTTCTTGTGTTATAAATACTAACATGCTTTTGTAGTAAGTAACACCTTTCTGATAAAAATTTTCAAAAGATTAAACTAAATCAATAAGACTTTGCCAGGTGAAGGACTAAAAATAGGACTTACAAGTACCCCTTAAAATTCCACTTGTATTAAAAAACAAAAAAAAAGTACTCAGTTCCAGAACATCTGAATTTGCTGGGGTTTAACTTTAGCCAACTCCTATCTTTACATTTAATCATTTTACTATAAAAACAAAGTTCGGAATATTTAAGGTTCATGAACTTCTAGGGTCAAGCTTAAGATAAATCTTCTGGTTTAGATAAAACAGATTGCACTAGTTAATGGATCTGACCTCACTGGGTAACCCGAAAATTGCTACAAAAGTTCCAGCTGTATGTTCTTGGTAAGGTGGGGTGACAACTCTGTGTGCTTTGTATTTCTTTTCATTCAAACTCGTTTATAAGATGCAAGGTTTTTAACTATCCAATAGAAGGTACATAATTTAAAACATTCTACAGAAATAACATTACCAGTAATGTACAATTAAAAAAAAAAAAACAGCCACAAAAAAGTCAAAGCTAAAAACAAGATTTTTACTATGAATCAGTGCTTCTATTACCCTTCTGAAAGAAGTGATATTTTAATGTGATGTAAAGGCAACATTGAAAGTTCATCTTTAAATTAACCACCTAATTTATCCCCTAAAATTACAAAGAAATCAGTCTTGTACAGGTCAAGTTCAGTAAACTAACATGTTCTCTCAGCACAAAGCAGCACTAGAAAACAACAGGACAGATGGGAGTTGACTAGTTTTGTAGTGCCTGCTCCATCAATACAAGACATCAGACGGTATCCATCCCAGAGCACAGACACAATTAAAGACTAGGGCAAGAATGTATCACACTCTTAGCTGATAAATGTCCTTTGTCTCTAGTTTGAATGAAATTAATTTTTCAAAGTAAATCGGGTCATGTAAGTTGGCTGTTAAATAACATCATGATGAGGTATGAAAGTTCTGAATATCCCTTACATTCAGCAGGATTCACCAGAGATGTGCAATAGCTTGTCAGGGGCAACTCCCAGATAGTTTTTATACTTTGGGGTCACAATGAATTCTAGAAGAGTAGTCTAAAGAGATTTAAAAGGGTATGCTCTGAAACAGACGGGAGCAACTTTTCCTTCAGAATTCATTTTGAACAGAATATCATCAAGAAAAGCTCTTCTCTGATAGTGTGTCCCAACATTGAGCCAAGACGGCCAACTAGCACCGAGAAGTCGCATTGAACTCATTTGCAGTTCTCTTGGCAATTAAACTTTTTTTGTTGTTTTTTCCCCTTCTAGTCCAAGCACAAACGTGGATCAGTGAACACAGTACTGGAAGCGCCATTTGCAAGTACATTACAGTCATCATTAAATAAGCAGGAGGTGGGCACTGTTTTTACTTGGGGAGGTAGGGTATTAGTAGGAGATGAAATAAAACCAGGGAACACACTGAGGTTATTAGAAAAAGTTCACTGCCCTTTTAGTCTAGAGGTCATATTGAGGAGACTGTTATGCTTTTAAAGATAAGGATGCTGCACTGCAGGATCATGTATGCAGCAGGAATACATTAGAATCGAGCTGCACTTGACTAAGGAAAAAAATCCCTAAGTAACATTTAAATACGTGTTATCTGCCAGTCACAAAGAGGAAAAGCACCTAGGGTGAACTCCAATTTACCAGGACCTTGATCAGGACCACAAAGCCTGAGTATCTTTTGTAATGCAGAAACACAGCCTCTAGTCACACTGGCTTAGAAAAGTGATGGGTTTGGTGTTCTTCTGACTCTTTAATGACTTTTAGAACATGATTTTACTAAGGACTTTTATCTTCATACCAGTGTTAAAACTCAACTACTTCCAAATCCTAAGAGACATAAACCAAAGAGAAGCAGAAGCCATACACATTAATCTGTGCTCCTCTCTTTCTGCTTTAAGGGAATCTGCCAAGCCAGTATCACATTTCAAAGTCAAAGTATTAATTCTTCAGCATTCCTGACAACTAGAAGCACATTCACTGAAGGCTGAAGGTGAGGGAGTGGATGGTTTAACTTTAATATCTGAAGAATGACTCCATTAGAGGAAAGAAAACCATCCCATCTCATAAGGATTAATGCAAATTTGGCTAAAAAAGCCACCCGGTACTCCAAAGGTTGGTTCACTGTGGAAGAACTCGAGAAGAGTACTCTGATGTACACACAAGTCTAAGTATCTCCCTTGTCCAAGCAGTTGTGTAAAATTCAAGATAAAGGTTTTAGTTTTATCTTTTAATGTCATTTTCCCCACTATACGGAATGAGGAAGAGTCCTCTTATTTTCCCCCACAAAAAAGGGAGCCACATTAATATGTGTATATATTCCCATGACTCTAATATAAGTGCGGATCTCCAAAGCTTAGGGATTTTTCCATAAGAGAGTGGGCCGTTCTGGTTACCCCTGTAATAAAAGGGTATTCCACCACAGAGAGCCAGAGGTTTTCCAGATGTGTGTAAGAGAGCAGGTGCGCAAGGCAAGCAAATGAGCGCAAACAGTATTATGGAAAACATTTGAGAAATTAGCTCCATGAGGACTGTGGGCTCCACAAGAGGACTTGACTGGGTAGCCTGGTCTGACACAGGAACAAGAAAGCAGAGGATTGCTTCAAAGCTGGAACCCTTCCATAGGAGCCTCACACTGCTGGAAGATGTACTGCTGCTGGCTAAGGTCAACCTGGGGTGTAATGCTGCTGTCCTCATCTTCGGTCCCAAAGTAATGCTCAATAAGATCAAAAGCCTTTTGATAGATCTCCTGGTTTTCATGACTCTGCAAGAACTCTATTTTATCCAGACCTAAAATGAAGAATAAAGAATCATTCTTGAAAATCCAGGTAACTACATTTTCAAGTTGACTTCTTTGAAGTAAACATTCTCACTTACATATCTTGTACTGCAGTTGTACAGAAATGATCACTATTACATCTGAACGCTAATATTATAAATTACTGTCTTAGCAACAATTCTGTAACAGTCCCTTTATCACCAGTGCCTACTATATTCATATCTTTAGATGACTACGACTACTTCTAACTCTCAGCCAGAAGCTGTGCCAATCAAAGTATCTCACCATATGCTTCTTCAATCAAAGCACAGTAAGGGTTAATGCCTGAGCCGTTCCTTTTGGCTTCTTGTTCTCCAAGCCTCAGGATGTTCTCCAAGCCATTGAGGGCAACTTGCACAATCTTTGAGTCCATGACAGTGAGGAGATCACAGAGTGGCTTGATACAACCCAGTTCTACTAGGTACCTGAATCAACAAAAAGCACAATTTAGTCATACAAAAAACTTAACTGTTAACATTTCTATCAAGCTGTGAGGTATCTTCAAGCTTATAGAAATAAAAATAAGAAACTGTCAACTATGGTACTTTAGGGAGGAAAGAGTTTATTTGGTTTACACATCCCAATTATAGTCCATTACTGAGGGAAACCAAGGCAGGAACTCAAGAAGGGCAACTGCTCTGTTGTTCAGCTACCTTTTTTCTTTTTTGGAGCGGATTTTGTTTTTTTGTGCAGCTACCTTTATTATACTACCTCCCAGGACCACAGTAGGCTGGACCCTCGCCCATCAATCATTAATCTAAAAAATGCCACCCAGGCTTGCCTACAGACCAACACAATGGAGGCCTTTTCTCACCTAGCTTAGGTCAGGCTGACAGAGAAACTAACTAGCACAACAGGAGTGGTGACACACGTCTTTAATCTCAGAATTAGGAGGCTGAGGCAGGTCCACCTGTGAGGCCATACTGGTCTACATATGGAGTTCTAGGCCAGCCAAGGCTACACAGTACCTCAAAATAGTAACAATTTTATTTCATTGATTGACTGATTAGAGGTATGTGTGCCATGGTCCATGGTCTGCATGTCGAAGACTGACAAAGTCTGTGAGAGCTGGCTCTCTACTTGCACAAAGTAAGTGCCGAGAACTGATCATCAGGCTTGAGAGCAAACGCCTTTACCTGTTCAGCCATCTTGCCAGCTCCAACTAAAAAATACCAAGTCAAGGACAAAACAAAACAAAAACCACCACCACAACAAAAACACAACAAATCGCATTATCTAGTAACATCCTCCTGCCCATCTTCATAATTTTATTTATTTTATTTTATTTTATTTTTTTTTGGTTTTTTCGAGACAGGGTTTCTCTGTGTAGCTTTGCGCCTTTTCCTGGAACTCACTTGGTAGCCCAGGCTGGCCTCGAACTCACAGAGATCCGCCTGGCTCTGCCTCCCCGAGTGCTGGGATTAAAGGCGTGCGCCACCACCGCCTGGCTTCATCTTCATAATTTTTGTACTGGGAAAGAAACAGGAATTCTTCCCACTTGTATGAGTGACTCATCAAAATAGTAATGCTTTGTTTTTCCTTCTTTCTTTCTTTTTTTTTTTTTTTTTTTTTTTTTGAGGCAAGATTTCTCTGGGTAGTCCTAGCTGTCCTTGAACCCTCCAACCAGGTGGCCTCAAAACTCAGAGATTTGTAAAGGCATGCACCACCACTGCCCAGTTTTTTTCCTCATTTTTCACATGCAAGTTATTCCAAGAAGCATGTTTTACATGTATATGGGTACACATAAGGGATGGGGACATATATGTGTCCAGTGAAGGTGGAGGTACAAAGCTGATGTTAGGAATATCCTTGATGATTCTTCCACATTATTCATCAAAGCAGGTGCCTCAACTCAACACAGAGACTACTGATGTGGCAAGTCTCACTAGCAAGCACGCCCAGGGGATGATCTCTGCCTTCTAAGGCTGAAACAGCAGCTGGACCACCAGACTTATTTAGCACTTACTTGGTGTAGAACAAGGGCTTTAACCATTAAGCCATCTTCCTCACCCCAAATAGGACATGGAGTTTTGATGAGATAATGTCATCATTATTTCTATATGTAGCCACACTTCTCAAATACAAATTGTGTGAACTGAGAATGAAACACATGAAGGACTCTATAGCTATTATTTTCTTTTAATTACAGCAAGATTTAACGTGTAATCCAGATTAAGTATAATGGATGAGATATAGACTACTGTGTCATAGTCCCACCAGTTATTCATGCACTCCCCTATCATTTTATTCTCTCAAGTTGTATATGGAAAAATGAGATAACTGATGGAGCTGAAACTTGTGTTTGTGGAACTTGGTACTAGCCTTTATTTTCTTTCTACACTACTTTAAACTTAAAATACATAGATAAATCTCTAGAAGTGAGAGAGAACACTTAAAATTACTAACATCATGAGGTAAAATGAGAAATCACTGCTGATGACATGAAGATTAAGAAAATCAAAATCACCGGGCGGTGGTGGCACACGCCTTTAATCCCAGCACTGGCAGAACCAGGCGGGTCTCTGTAAGGTTCAAGGCCAGCCTGGTCTGCAGAGTAAGATCCAGGACAGGCACCAAAGCTACACAAAGAAGCCCTGTCTTGAAAAACCAAAAAGAAAATGAAAATCCATCTTGATTATTAATTTAAAAAAACAAAACTTCACAGCAAACCAAGGATAGAGGGAATTCGATAAAGAGCCTTAACAAGAACTATTCAGCTAACATCACACTGAAGAACACAGATAAAGATTAAGAAAGGGGTACTCTCTAACTATACTACTATTGCACGTTACAAGTAATTCCAAACAGTATTTTTTTAAATAAATAAAACATATATAGACAGGTATGGAAGCAAACTCTATTTCATTGTTTTGTGTGTGTGTGGTGGTGGTGGTGGGGGTTGACCACGACAAAAAACAAAAAACTAAGCTGGCCCAAACCAGCCTGGATAGTAAGTAAAAAGAATCTATAAAAAGCTAATACACAAATTTAATCTTTATATTACAGTAATGACCATAATATCACTATGGTAGCATTAGAAAGCAGTATAAATCTGTTGGGGTACACACTGAATCCCAGTACTCTAGAGGCAAAGAAAGGCAGCTCCTTGAGTTCTAGGCCAGCTTGATCTACAGAGCAAGTTCCAGGACAGCCAGGGTTACACAGAAAAACTCTGTCTTAAAAAAGTAAAGAAACACTCTGTGAGTTCGAGGCCAGCCTGGGCTACCAAGTGAGTTCCAGGAGAGGCGCAAAGCTACACAGAGAAACCCTGTCTCAAAAAACCAAAAAAAAAAAAAAAAGTAAAGAAACAAAATAAGACAAAAAACTGAATATGAGAAGCTACAGAGATGGCTCAGCAGTTAAGAATGATGCTGCTCTTCCAGAGGACCCAAGTTCTATTCCCAACACCCACATAAGGCAGCTCACAACTGCCTGTAACTCCAGCTCTTGGGAATACAAAGGCCTCTTCTGGCCTCCATGAACATGAGGCGCACACGTGCACACATGTACACATGTACACACAGACACACACACACACACACACACAAATAAAAATCTTTTTTAAAAACTGAAAGGGAGAGAGGGAAGACAAGTTTTAAAAACTCAATGTAGCCACTGCAGAAATGGCTCCGCAGTTAAGAGCACTTGCTACTCTTATAGAGGACCTGAGTTTATTCCGCATCACCCATGTCAGGCAGCTCACGACCACCTCTAACTCCAGTTCTCAGATCTGATTTGTCTAGCCTTCCAGGCACTTGCATTAACACACATAGCCACATTCTTACACATATGAATTAGAATATTTTTTAAAATAAAACTTAAAAAGAATAAATGTACTTCTGAGTCTAATTAGAACACTGAAAACAATTTCCCAAAGGGTCAGACTTAATTGTTCACAGTCAAGAAGTTCTATCAATCTTTTTTTTTTTTTTAGGTTATATTTGGGGGCGGGAGTGCGGGGGTGGAGGTGTGGGGGTGGGGTGTTAAACTTGTTTTCCTTTAATTTGCAAGATACTTCCTGGGAAGCACTTACTTGATTTGCTCAGCTGACCCTCCAGAAGTTGCATTTGTGATGGCCCAAGCAGCTTCTTTCCTTGTCCGGAACTCAGCAGTTTGCAATATACTAATGAGAGCTGGGAACATGTTAGCATCTATCACAGTCTGAAATTGAAGCAAAGTTAAAAGGACAAGGAAGTTACACTACTTTTAAAAATATTACTAATGGTCATTATAACTTGCTTTGTTTCGGTTGTTTTTGAGACCAGGTTTCACTAATTAGCTCTGATTAGCCTGGAACTTGCTATGTAGACCAGGCTGGCCCTCTGAGTTCCATCTGCCTCTGTCTCCCAAATGCTAGGATTAAAAACATAACTTTTGAACTAACTTGACAAATGTTTGTTTTTCCTATTATCATTTTTTAATTTTTATTTTATTCATTATTATTGTGTATGTGTGAATGCATAGGCACAGCATTGATTTTCTCCTTCTACCATGGGTTCTGAGGATCAAATCAAATCCAGGATCAAGTCTTTTGGTTCACTCTGTAATGTTCTCACCTGCTGAGCCATCCCACAAACCCTGTCATCTCCTCAAGAGGCTTATACTTAGTACCATGGATAGTACTCTTACGGTGTCTGTGGTCTTAAGTCTCATCAGGGCAGAAGAGATGTTTAGTGGAAAAAAGCTCTTGCCACACAAAACAGGCAAAGAGTTATAATTCCTAGAACCACTGGAAATGTCAGACGTGGTGGCAAGCTCAAAATCAAAGTCATAGCATGTGCCTACTTGAATATGACACAAACAGACATACAATAAATAAATAAAGGTGAAATATATTGGATGCCCTGGACCAGGAAATGATGCATGCCTTTAATCACAATACTCAAGAGGGAGAGGCAGACAGAGCTCTGTGCATGTGATGCTAACCTAATCTACATGGTGAGCTTCAGTCCAACCAGGCTACACACTAAGACCCTGTCTTAAAAACCCCAGTGTTTTAATGGCATACTTTTACATTTCACTTACATATTATCACTAGCCTTCCTTAAAAACTTTCATGCTTAAAACTGGCCCAGAAACTTAACATAGGTTAGTATAATTTCTTCGATCAAATAAAAATGAGTAATTCTGCAAAAGGGTATATTTAAAGAAAACAGATCCTCCCTGGTGGTATACATATTTAATCCTGGCACTCGGGAGGTTAAAAAAAAAGACGGATCTCTGTGAGTTCTAAGGACAGCCTGGTCTAAACAGTAAGTTCCAGGCCAGCTGGGGTTACAAAATGAGACCCTGTCTCAAACAACAACAAAAGGCCTTCAACAGTCCATGAAAAACTTACACAATCTAACACATGACTTCACTGGAAAATATAGAAGTAAAGCCAACCTATTTAGCATACAGTCCATCCAAACATTTTGAAAACCCAGAGACTTTTTTTAGATCTTTGACAAAAATCATCAAACTTTAAAGGTAAAGAGAAAAATGCATGGTCTATGCATCAAAAAACTAACATTACAAGAAAGAAAATTGGGGTTGGGGATTTAGCTCAGTGGTAGAGCGCTTGCCTAGCAAGCACAAGGTCCTGGGTTCGGTCCTCAGCTCCAAAAAGAAAGAAAAAGAAACAAAGAAAATTGAGACTGAAAGAGTGGCAATGGAAGTTAAGTTTTACAAGAACAAGGAAGACTGTATTTTAAAGTCTTAAACCAAAACAACTTCACTCATCATTAAAAGGGCAGAAAAGGGGACGGAGAGGTGGCTCAGCTGTTGACTGCTCTTTCAGAGGATCTAGGTTCACTTCCCAGCACCCACAGATAGCTCACAACTGCCTTTAACTCCAGTTCCAGGAGATCCAAGGGCACTGCATGCACAGGACATACATACAGTTAAACAGACACACACACATAAATAAAATCTTTTGAAAATGTAACTCACATACAGGGATAAAAAAGCAGATACTATGGCATTACCTGGATCTGTGCCCTATTTCCAGCTGTAATATTAGATATTGTCCAACATGCTTCCTTTTTGATAGATTCCTTTGGGCTACTCAGCAAATGTAATAAACTCTGAAGAGCTGAGCAATTCAAAATTACCTGAAAAGGGGGGAAAAAGGTTTTTAAGTTTTATTTATGGCATAGTTCCAAATATCATTTTGTTTTGGATTATTGTTGGTTTTTGTTTGTTGAGGCAAGGTCTTATGTAGCACAGGCTGGCCTCAATGCATACTAGATGATGAGCTTGAAATCCTGGATCTTCCTATGTCCACCTCCCAAGGGTTATAAGTAAATCTTTAATGCAACAAACATTATTTTTGTCTCATAAAACAAACACAGAGAAACCCTGTCTCAAAAAACAAAACAAACAAACAAAAAGTTAAAATAAACTTATTTAACTACAAATGTAGGAGGACAAAAGAACTCTAGATTTAAAACAAGTAACTTTATATACACTATGTTTGTAAATTGTGTTTATTCATGGGAAGCACTTGTGGGTGGGCTTGAGCATGCCACAGTACACATGGAGGTGAGAAACGTTTTGCAGGAGCTGGTTCTCTCCTTCCATTATGTGTCCTAGGAATCAAACTCAGGCCACCAGGCTTGGTGGCAAGTGCCATTACCATTTGAGCCAAAGTACTCGTTCATTAAAAAATATTTAATGCTAGTCTGAAATACATTAAAGACTATGAATCTGGTTTCATTGTGTACATTCACAACACCGTGACATGTGGTAGTACACACCCATACTCAACTTGGGAGGCAAACATGGGAAGATCTTGAATTTGAGCACAGCTTGATCGTTATAGTCATACTCTGTTCTCAAAAACAAAACAGAACAAAACCTGTAATACACATCTACAATGAAGTTAGTATTAAAAGCTATAATATGGGCTGCAGAGACAGTAGCTCAGTGGTTAAGAGTACTTGTTGCTCTTTCAAAGGACCTGGGTTCAATTCCCAGCACCCACATGGTGGCTCACAACTATATTCAACTCCAGTTTTAGAGGATCTGATGCCTTCTACTGGTTGTCACATGCACCAAGCGTATATATGGTACACATATACACATACATAAAATAAAAAGAATACATCTTAAAAAAACAACTACAATTAAGGGCCAAGTATGGTTGCACGCCCCTTTAATCCCAGCACTTGGGAGGCAGAAGCAGGTGGATCTCTTCTGAGTTCAAAGCCAGCCTGGTCTACACAGAGAATTATAGGCTAGCCAAGGCAACATTCTAAGACACTATCTCCACCAAAAAGAACAAAAAGGGGAGGGAAACTCTGTTGCTAGGTCTCTGGTGCTGACTAACACCATTCTAAGTCTTTGGAGGCTAGTTTCCTAGGACTCTAAAATTATAAAGTTAAAAATCATTAAAATGGTGGTGAGAGTTCAAGAATCCATCACTGTACAACTGAATAGACTCTATTCCAGAAATAAAGGCAAGTATTTATGAAGAAATAAAATGAAAGGTAATCCTTTTCTCCTCTAATTACTGGTAGTTTTGCTTAATATCCAAGTAAAATAACCCAAACTGAAGAAACACATTCTTTAAAAAAAATAAAAATAAAAAAATAAAAAATCTGGGTGGTGGTTTACCTTTAATCCCAGAACTCGGGAGGCAGAGCCAGGCAGATCTCTGTGAGTTCAAGGCCAGCCTGGTCTACAGAGCAAGATCCAGGACAGCCACCAAAACTATACAGAGAAACCCCGTCTCAAAAACAAAACAAAACAACAACAACAAAAAGCACATGAAATAAAAATAAATTTTAAAAAAATACACAAAATAGATGTATAAAAAACTAGAATAAGAGTTCATCTTAGTTGTGTAAGTTAAAAAGAAAAAAAAATAAATAGAAAATTTCATCACAAGTAATGAAATAAATGAAAACTAAAACAAAACCATGTATTGCCTATTAAATGTAGCAACAAACAAAACTTATGGCTGATAAAGTGTCTTTTATTTAAAAAAAAAAAGAAAAGAAGGGCAGAGATATACTTCCCACAGTTCTGGAGGCTGGAAAGTCCATAGTCAAAGTATAAGGGACCTTCTTACTACATCCTCCCGTGGCAGAAGGCTGAAGAACTAGTGGGGACAAACATTCTGTCCTTACATGACAGAAAAGCAGAAGAGTGCATGGAACTTTCTAAAAACAATTTTGTCATAAATATTAAGTTTTTATCTTATAAATTTTTATTATAAAAATCTTTGAAAATAAAATAAACATCATACACCAAAATTAACCAGATCTAATTCTATACGTCTTAGTGTATAGAATTAGAACAGCCATTCTGAAGCTGTGAAGCTTCGTGGTGGATTTTATACTTTCTCTACTGGTTATATTATTTATTTGCTCATCCACCACCAAAAACCCATGACAAAATTAGAACTCGATAAACAAACAACTTTATAGCCTCTTTCATAACTGGTATTTGAAAAGCTAGATAACCCAGAAAAGGAATTTCTAAATGTATATCATTAACCAAAATTAAACCCTGAAGATATAAATAACAGACCCATTATGAGCAATCAGAATGAAACTGTTAATAAAAGCATCTCTTCAAAAAAAACCCAGGACCAGATAAATTCCCAGCTGATTCCTATCAAACCTTGAAGGAAGGCCTCATACCAGTTCTTTACTTGTTCCATAAAACAAAAAAGAACACTACCAAATTCATTCTATGAAGCCAGTATTATCCTGACACCAAAATGCAGGTAAAGACACTACCAAAAACAAACACAGAATAAAAACAAAAACCCTCTAGACCAATTTCCCTGATGAACACAGAGGCAAAATTCTTAATTAAAATACTTGCAAACCAAATTTAAGAACACATTAATAAGATTATATATTATGACCAAGTGGGCTTTATCCCAGAAAGGAAAGGTTGATTAACATATATAAATCAATAAATGTAATACACCATGCAAGTGAACTCAATGATAGAAACCACACAATTATTTCAACTGACTTTGAAAAAGCATTTGGCGAAGTTCAACATCCCTACATGATAAAAGTTCTTAAGACTTTAGGAATAGATGGCATATACACCTCAAAATAATAAAGGCTATATACAATAAACCTATAGCCAACATTATAGTAAATGGAGACAGAGCATTTCCTCAAAAAGGAAGAATGAGCCCAGCGGTAGTGGTGCACGCCTTTAATCCCAGCACTCGGGAGGCAGAGCCAGGCGGATCTCTGTGAGTTTGAGGCCAGCCTGGTCTACAGAGTGAGATCCAGGACAGGGACCAAAACTACACAGAGAAACCCTGGCTCGAAAAACAAAAAAAAATAAAATAAAGTAAAAGAAGAAGAATGAGACAATATGTACATCCTCCTCTTTCTTATCCTACAATAGTGCCCAAAGTCTTAGCTAAAACAAGAAAAAGACTTAAAAGGGATAAATACAGGAAGGGAACAAATCAAATTATACCTATTGTAGACATGATTCTGGTTTGATTTTGTTCTTTTGTGTTTTCATCTTTATTTTGTTGTTTTGAGACAGGGTCTTACTGTGTAGCTCTAACTGGCCTTCATTAATACCAACATTCTACTCTCAGAGGTAGTACAAAAAATATTCCATTCAAAATAACCCCCCAAAATTAAGTATCTAGGAATGGATTTAGCTAAAGAAGTGAAAAAACTCTACAATGAAAACTTTTAGACAATGAAAAAGAAAATTCCAGAAGATATTAGACAATAGAAACATATGCCATGTTCCTGGATTTGGCAGAATATTATGAAAATAGCTATACTGCCAAAATTAATTTGTACTATTAACACAGTATGCCTGAGGCTGTGGAAATATATAGTAGATAGTAAGTGAGAGTTCAGGTGTCGACCCACCAGATAAATAACCCTCTGATGGAGGAATCTTGTTAAGCAAGACCTACAGGACCACAGACTCTGAAACTGGTTCCTTTGTCTGTAATTTTTCTCATGTACCACTACATCTCTTCCCTAAAAACAGCTACAGGTATTTTCCCTACTGCTTGTGTGTTTATCTCGTGAACATATTTCATCTACTGAGCACACATATAGCTGTGGATGGTCAGGAAGATAATTTCTGCTTAAGCTGTGTAATTTTGATGAATAGAAATAATACTAGCATATTTTTCATTACTCAGACTGACATAGGAAAATGACAATATTCTCAGCTACAAAGTCAGCTTTTTTTCAAATCCAAAACAGACAAGTTGCCCCTGGAGACGAACTGCACAGTGCAAGTAGCCAGGTGTCTGTTTGCTGAACCAAAGTCAGGCTGATAACATCAAGACATTAAATCCTTGAAGCAATTGGCTTTCTGTACATACTCCTAATCTCAAGGTTCAGCCAACTAACTGTTTATTATTTAACTCCTGAATTTCAATGTCACTGTCTGGAAACCCTAACCACTCAGAGCTACATGCCCGCTTTACTCACCATGCCTGGTCAGTGCAACCTCCCTAGCCTGATAGAAACTGTGAGACTTACGTGTTATTAGAATGGGTCGGACCTGGCATTATGTAACTCACAACTGTCCAGAGTTTGGTTGTTGAAGGAGGTGTGTGTAGAAAGAGCTATGTAGAGAGAGCTACTGTGTAAAGAGTTGTGTACAGCTGTGTGTAGAAAGCATGGGTGTGCAGACAGAGTTGTGTAGAAAATGAGTAGCTATGTAGAAGAGAATTTGTGTAGCTATATAAAAAAGAGATGTAGAAGAGAGATGTAACTGTGAAAAGAAAGATGTGTATGCAGGGCAGATGTGTGTGTAGAGGAGAGTGAGTGAGTGAAGAGTGAGTGAGTGAGTGAGTAAAGAGTGAGTGATATAGTAGTGTGTGAAAGAATGTAGCAGAGTAGAGAGAGATGTAGAGCTAAGAAAAAAGAGATTAACTGTGTGTAGAGATGTATGGCTGTGCAGGAGAGAGATGTATGTACACATGTAAAGAGAGGTATGTAGTTGTATGTAAAGAATGTAGCCAGGCGGTGGTGGCGCACGCCTTTAATCCCAGCACTCGGGTGGCAAAGCCAGGCAATCTCTGTGAGTTCAAGGCCAGCCTGGTCTACAGAGTAAGATCCAGAACAGGCTCCAAAGCTACACAGAGAAACCCCGTCTTGAAAAAACCTGTGTGGAGACAGATTTTCAGGGATAGATTTTTCAAGATAAAGTAAAAAAGAAATTACCATCAGAGAGTGTGTGTTGATTTAGTGTGATAGAAAAGTCTAGCCCTTGCTACATTGATGGGTTTTTTTGTTTTTTTCCCCTGCATACCCTGGAGGCGGTCCTGGAGCAGGCTCTCCCAAAGGCTACTGATAGTAGTATCTAACAATTTTTCCATGTAATTGTTCACAGCTTTAGAAAAAAACAATATAAGAGTTCATATGGAACCAAAAACAGACCACAGGTAGCCAAAGCAATCCTAAGGAGCAAGGAAGAACCCTGCTGGAAGTATTACAGTATCAGATCTCAAATTACACTATACATCTACAGTAATAAAGACAGTCTGGTACAGTACTACCATGTGTATGCAGCTTCCAGAAAATGAAGCAGTTTCCCTGAGTGTCAATGATACAGCGTAAGGCACCCATGTTCCTGTAAGTAACCCCACAAAACCCAATGTTTCCCTATGCCTGACTTGGAAAGAATCCTTTCTTTGGTCTATTTTTACCTTATCTGTGGTATGTGTTTCTACGCATCTCCTGGCCAAACAGGGAAGAATAAATGGAGAGGAATAATGACTTAGAAAGAATAGGAAGGTAAATCAAGTAGACATGGCAGAAAAAAAAAATCTCTTGTGTATAAGAAGACAGGGACAAAAATAAGGTATAATTTATACATAGTTCTAACAATAAGAAAAACCAGTAAGACTTGATGAACTATGCAACTGAGCCAAGAAGAGTCAGATATAGTCGTATCTGGTTTCAAGCCTAGGAATAGAAGAGAACAGTTACTAACTGAAAGAAAAACAAAACAAAACAAAAAACCAAAAATCACAAGTTGCTTTTTCACAGTAAGCAGATAAATTATGAGACAAAAGGCAGAAACGGCTAACAGATTACTTGGATCATGAGACGTAGAACTTGAGAGTTCAGAACTAGATTCAGAACATTTCTGCTTGAGATGCAGCTCAATGACAGAGCCCTTGCTGTAGCATAAGGACCAATTCTACCCTCACGAAACAAAATAGCAAAAGCAATTCAACATTACCCCCATTCCATTAAATACCCCTTCAAAAAACACAAAAGCAAAAACAAAAATCTCACTATGTTGCCCAGGCTGGCCTGGAACTCACAATCTTCCTGCTTCTGACTCCCAAGTACTGGGATTATAGGCATGCACAACCGCACCTAGCAATAAAAAATTGAGTCCCTGCCATACCAGGACCTATTAGATTATAAAGGCACAGACATGAATGAGGTTAACACCATAAACCTCTAAAACTATACAACCTAGTATGGTTTATAAAACTATAGGTTCATGGTTTGAATACTTGGGCCTCTAGCTAGTAGCACTATTTTAGAAGGCTGCAGAAACTTTGAAAGGTGGGAACTGGCCGCAGGAAGCAGTTCATGAAGCTGCATGTTTGAAGATTGTACCAAGTCTTGTCTGCTTTTCCCTCTCTTCCCAGCAGACTTGACATGGAAAAGCTCCTCTGCCACACATTCTCAGAGCCATAATGTTCTGCTCTGTAACAGGCCCCAAGCACAGATCCAAGTGACTACAAGTGAAGCTATCTTAAACTATGAGTCCATTTGTTCTTTCTTCTTCTTCTTCATCATCATCATCATCATCATCATCATTATTATTTTGATCATCATCATCATCATCATCATCATTATTATTTTGATCATCATCATCATCATCATTATTATTTTGATACAGGATTTTTTTATGTAGCCCTGACTCCTCCTCCTCCTCCTCCTCCTCCTCCTCCTCCTCCTCCTCCTCATCATCATCATCATCATCATTATTTTGATACAGGATTTTTTTATGTAGCCCTGACTGTCCTCAAACTCAGAGGACACCTGTCTCTACCTCCCAAGTGCTGGGATAAAAGTTGTGCACCACCACTTCCAGCCCAAATGACCTTTTAAGTTGTTTAGGGAAGGTATTCCTCAGTAATGAGAAAAGTAATATACCTACAAATTATATACAGTAGATATGATTAGTGCTCTTGTAAAAGATTACTACCTAAATTTAAATTAAAGAGTTTGAGGTTCAAAAGAAACTTTCCAAAGAAAACAATGCTTGTAGCTGGAGATATCTCCAGTTCCACCCTGGCCTGCAGCCGCTCAGATCCAAATGAACACAGAGACTTATATTACTAATAAACTGTATGGCCATGGCAGGCCTCTTGCTATCTAGTTCTAGTTCTTATATCTTAAATTAACCCATTTCTATTAATCTATAAGCTGCCACGTGGCTTGTGGCTTACTGGTACTTTACATCTTATTTCTCATGGCGGTGGTGGCGGCTGGTAGGGTCTCCTGACTCAGCCTTCCACTTCCCAGAATTCTCTTCTCTGCTTATCCACCTATACTATACTTCCTACCTGGCTACTGGCCAATCAGCACTTTATTTATCAATCAGTCAGAGCAACACATTCACAGCATACAGAAAGACTTTCCCCAGCAAATGCTAATATATAGTGCTGATATAAAAAGCACAAAGGAAAAAAAAAAAACCAAAGCGGGGGGGGGGCGGGGGGGGGGGGGGGGGGGGGCGGTGGCGGCGAACGCCTTTAATCCCAGCACTCGGGAGGCAGAGGCAGGTGGATCTTTGTGAGTTCGAGGCCAGCCTGGTCTACAGAGCGAGATCCAGGAAAAAGGCGCAAAGCTACACAGAGAAACCCTGTCTCAAAAAACAAAAAAAAAAAAACCAAACAAACAAACAAAAAAAAAAGCACAAAGAATAAGAAATCATTACTAACAAGAGTATAGATATGGGGGAAGTGGTGGCTAGGGCAGGGATGGAGGATGAAGGAAAAAAGTATGTGTTAAAACCCAGAGCTAAAAGTGGTCCAACAAAATTCAATGAACAAACAGGGTAAGAACAAAAAGCATGGGTGGAGCCGGGCGGTGGTGGCGCACGCCTTCAATCCCAGTACCCGGGAGGCAGAGGCAGGCGGATCTCTGTGAGTTCGAGGCCAGGAAAGGCACAGAGAAGCCCTGTCTCAAAAAAACAAAAGATAGCCGGGCGGTGGTGGCGCACGCCTTTAATCCCAGCACTCGGGAGGCAGAGCCAGGCGGATCTATGTGAGTTCGAGGCCAGCCTGGGCTACCAAGTGAGTTCCAGGACAGGCGCAAAGCTACACAGAGAAACCCTGTCTCGAAAAACCAAAAAAAAAAAAAAAAACAAAAGATAAAAATAAAAAAAGCATGGGTGGGACAGGGGAGACCGAAAGAACTTTTTGTTGTGGGGGCCTAGAATTGAACTCAGGATCTCACATATGCAATTTATCACTGAGCTATATCTCAGCCCTACAAAGTTGCCCCCCAACCAAGCAAATACATTAACATGGTTCAAAAATCCAAGACATGGACTGGCAAGATGAGTCAGTATGTAGGCATTTGCCATGTAAACCTGGAAACCTGAGTTTGAGACTTATAACTCATTTTAATGAAAGGATAAAAACCAACTCCAAAGAAGTCCTCTGATTTCTACACAGGAGCTACAGCATGCACATGCACATACATATCCATACACACACACACACACACACACACACATACACACACACACAGTATTTTAAAAATTAGAATGTATAAAGATTGCATTGGTAAGAAACTCCTTTCCCTTCCATTCTGTTCCTATACTTGGATAACAACCAAGTTATCCTCACAGATAATCACTGATATTGATTTTGGATGTGTTGTCCCAGAGAAATTTTATACAAATACAATCAAATATATATTCCCTTTTCTCTTGTCTAAGATGTCTACACTAAGTAATGTGAGGGATAAATAGCAATGGAGGAACAAGCTACAGTGACTGGTGAGAGCAGAATCAAGCCACTACCTGCATTGCTGGCACGGGCAACTATTAGAGCCAAATACTAAGACAAGAGCAGATAAAGAGGGAGAAATAAGTTCCCTTGTAGAAAGAATAAACTGGAATTAAAAACACTGACACCATGAGACACCTGAGAACACAAATCTAATTTCCTTCATTTTAGAGATTAGAAAAGTAAAAACATCAAATGCCTTGCTGAGAGCTGAAGCTGATTGAGATAATAAAAACCTAACTCTCAAGTAAGTCCATGTGAGTAAGGGTAATGAATCCAGGAATGATGCTGAAGACCTGCTCCTAGAGCATGCCCACAAATAAATGAGAACAGGAAAGGAGCTTCCTAAGGAGAAACAGTCAGAGACAAAAACCAAAGTATTCCATTGTCGTGGAAGCCTAGCAAGATAATTTAGGGACATCATCATTGATGCATCAGAGACATCTGAAAGAGGAAAAAAAGGAAAACAGGCCAAAACAATTCACTGCAGAGGACATGCTTCTTACCAAAGCAGAATGGACACTGGGAACTATGACGAAGACTCTTCCTTACAAAAGACTCAGCATACACAAAAGGAGGAAGCTACAAGAAAGTACACTGCTAGGAAGCCCACCTGGTGCTCCTAAGATCCACTACAAATGAAAGCAGGGAGAAAACTGACTAGGGAAAAGTTATTTCATAAGGGAACCTACAACTGCTTCAAGTCACAGGATGACGAAGAGATCCTGAAGATACTGAGAACAGCAAACACCAGTAAACAGTGGCAGTCATCCTTCACAATACAGAATTCAATGTAACAGAACTGTGTTCAAGGGACTCACTTTAGAGAAACATTAGCCTGTGTTCATACCTGTGTCTGAATATCATCTCCTGTGACAATGTTTCCCACAGCTCGCAGAGCAGGAGACACCACTTTATAATCATTATGCCTGCAACCATTAAAGAAAAAGATGTTAGAGCCAACAGTTCTATCCAGAGTCTTTTCTTAGGGAACGAAATTCAAAATAAGGAAGATGTGATTTAATTTTAGAGCAGAAAGGTACTTTATGATTATGGCTATTTAGGAAACATACCATGGTGGCAGAATTGACCATTACCTAGAAAATTTTGATCTTTCCCCTCATTTTTCAAGTAAATTCCTTCCTAGTAATCTTTCCCAGGAACACCAGCAATGAATTCCACATTTTTCTCTTATTCCACAGCCCCTCTCCTCTTTAGTTGGTCTCCTGGAGCTGCTGAGATGATTGGGAAGCGCAGGGGACTTTTATACACTGCTCATATTCTGAAACTGCTATTATCAACTGTTCAGCTAACTTCAAAAGCAAAGTGAGATTCACATCTCAAATACTCTTCTGTTTCTCTAACCTATAAGGCTGCCTTTATGGCCAAAACCACTTCCCACAAAGCCTGCTATATATATATGTGAGGACAGTTAATAAATACAGATTTCAGGGTAAATAAAGCAATACCCCTGTAACTTTCCTCTAAGACCCTATTCTCTTCCTTCACGCTTAAGATCTCATGATTAAAATGAAACATGTAGTAAACTTAGTAACTTAAGGACAAAAGTGATTATTTCCCAGATATTGAATTCTTAGACCCCAGTAGCACCACACTGCCTTTAAACTGTACCACTACTACACTGCTGGTGTGTAACCAGTCTGTAATCATCTATAATCCCAGTAATGTTACACTTAACCAATTTCACATCATGTTTGAGATACTGTCTCTACAACTGGTTTGTACACCAATTAATTTCATGTTGCTTATAACTGTACCATTTGCCATCATATTGTGGCTATATTTTCTTCTAAGTATTAGCTAAAGATTTGATTAATATAGTCTCAAATTATTTATGCCACGAGTTAATCTTCCATGCTATCACCAAAAGCATTACAAAAATAGAATTCAGAGTCTGATACTAGTCTGTTTTTTTTCTCTAATGAGAAAGTAAGAAATGGCCATTTACCACAGCAATATGCCTTTCGTTTCTAGTACTCGACCTTAGGCCTTTCCAGTGTGGGGTGCAACGACAGAAATAGAATTACATAGGCAGAGCTTTCCAAATAACTCTGCTAGAAGACTCATAATGGCAGAGGAATAATAGAGTCTTCAATAAGTCTTTAAAAAAAGCAAACCAAAAAATGGCATCAATATAAACAGGAGACAATCAGCTAATGCATAACAAATCAATAAAATACATAACCAAAGTACTAGAAATATGGAAAATAGTAGAGGGTGCAAGTCAGCACCAGCTGTTAGCTTGACACAGTCTAGGGTCACCTAAGTAAATCTCAACTGAGGGACTGCCAAAAGTCAGACTGGATTGTGGCCATGTCTGTGAGAGACTGTCTGAGCTGATGAGTGATGTGACAGGGCAGGGCCCAGCCCACTGTGAGTAACACCAACCCTAGTGATAAGCTGGCTGAGCCGGGGAGCAAGACAGAAAACAAGCCAGTAAGCTGCATTCATCCACAGTTTCTACTCCAGTTCCCGCCATGGATTTCTTCAGTGACAGACTGTGACCTGGAAGTCCAGTCAAGTAAACCCTTTCCTCCTCTAAATCGTTTTTTTGGTGTGGTTTATCACAGATACACTTTCTTGAAGATCATCTTACATCAGAAGCTCCACAAGTCTCCTACATACTCCTGCATCAATGACTGCTTGAATTTTATCATTGGGTCCATCTGACAGGTAGGAGAGGGCCCAGCAGGCATCAGCCAGTACATCAGTGTCACTGACAAACAGCAACCAAGAAAGGACATTCAGACAGGGAGAAACCTAGAAGAGAAAAGACGGTTAGACATTCAACAGAAACAAAGAGAAGTAAGGTTAAGACTCTCAGACACTAGTGAGTTACAGAATGGTTATACTTCAAACGTTTGAAGGACATTTCAGTCTCTGGCAATGTGCTTAGTACTTATTCAGTTAACCAAGCTGAGGTAGTCAGAACCCAAGGAAAATGATTTAAGGAAGAAAAATGTTATGCATTAATCCTTAAATTAGAATTCTTTCTTACAGTACACACTTAGAGAAAAGGAGGTAAAGGAATTTTCACAAATACTACAGCTGGGAAATTCTGTTGTAGAACTTTGTTATCGACAAAGATTGCTATGGTTCTAAGACTGATATTTATAAACTGGCAGTGAGAAATTACTCTAAATTAAAACAAAAATTACCAAAAGCATTGTCTCCACAAACAAATACATTTTAACAAAAATTATCTTTCAGTAAACATTAATGTTGGTTACTATATTCTTTTAAGAGCATTTTTCCCCCTAACAATTTCCCACAAACATAGCCTTTACCTTAGCAAATTCTGGAGGTGGACTCTTCCCTCTACAGAGATTAGATAAAGCCCATACTGCATTCCGGGTCATGGTCAAGCGATTCTGCTTTGAAAATAACCTACAAGTATAATGAACCCACAGTAAATTATAAAAGATATTAATTCTCTATAAATAGTACTGATAAGAAATGTCTTTATTCTCTAGAATAAAGATTATTTTCCTAAATTATTCATTCTCTGAAGATAAACTTCATTAATTCTAATGCAGTATTTCAGAATTTCAGTAAGAGGCATCACCCTAACAATGTAACAAGAAAATACTTGCAATCAAAGTAACACTAGGAAACACAAAATGACTTCCCAAGATGAAATACTTCTCATACATTCATTCCTCAGAAAAAGAAAGGGACTTACTGCAGAAGAGGGGGGAGGATATTGCAGTCTAAGACATAGTCTCTGCACATGGTACTGTCGCCAGCAATGTTGCCAAGAGCCCAGACTGCCTGTGAAGGAGTTAGTCATCAATAACACTGAACACTTTCATTCTCTAATTCTTTCAAAGAGATGCCAGCATATCACAGTAACACTTTATAAAATCAACATTTTACATATGGACTATTATTGACTTTCTTAAAATCACTCATCAGGGAGTCAAACTAGTTAGAGTATCAGAGTTAGAAATGGTGATTATACACAATAAACAAAAGAAAATGTTATTTCATTAAAGTAAAGGCTTTACTAATAAAAGGGAACTTTTTCCCCAGTGCTGGGAACTGAACTTAGGACCTCACATGGGCTGGACAATTGCTCCCCCACTAAGCTATATCCCCAGTCTGAAGCCAATTATTTTTAAAGGATCTTATCCTCACTCATAAGTAATATTCTATACAATCCTTTATACAAACAGGGATTTAAATGGCTTAATTGGTGGATTAAAAATGTATTTAGGTTCCTTAAAATAAGAAACTATTTTCGCCGGGCAGTGGTGGCGCATACCTTTAAACGCAGCACTCGGGAGGCAGAGGCAGGCGGATCTCTATGAGTTCGAGGCCAGCCTGGTCTCCAAAGCGAGTTCCAGGAAAGGCGCAAAGCTACACAGAGAAACCCTGTCTCGAAAAACCAAAAAAAAAAAAGGAAGAAAAAAAAAAAGAAACTATTTTAAGATGGTAATATTTATTAAGGCTGTGAAAGTGGTGAATGCAGTTTCACAACAATGGCTTCATAGTTGTATAGGTCTAAGAATGATAGTTTACTGTGTTTTAATTCTCTCTCAAAATTACAAATCACTTAGTAGTGATTTATCCTTACAAATTTAATAAGACTGGCAATAACAAAAGTTTGTTTTCTGTCTTTTCTGAACAAATGACAAATACTTTTAATAGTAGCAATAAAGACTCACATTAGAAAAGGCCCTTTTATAAGTAATATGTCCATGACTAAAAAAAAAAAGAAAGACAGCTAAAAGCTGCACGAGTCCCATGGTTGGAGGAGAAATACTCACTAGAGGATTTTTCCTATTTAAACAAGCTGTGAATCACTGTGAGTAAGTAATCAAACTCAAGCTGGGTATGACTATGTGAAATGTGTGTTCTCCTATCTGTTTCTGCTGAGGTTTTTACCTGCTCCTGGACATCTTCAAACTCTGAGCTAAGCAACTCGATGAAGATAGGCACCGCTCCTGCCTGAATCACAATCCGGGTCTGAAGAGAATTTCCTGAAGCAATATTTGTCAGGACCCAGGCTGATTCAAACTACAAAGACAAAAGTAAGTTTCATTATCTTATTAAAAGTTAGAAAGTTGGTTAATTATAGCAATATGATGTTTTGTACATTAAAAGGAATCTGGGATCATTATTATCATACTGTAAATACCATATTAATTTAAAAATAATTTCCAGAATCCCTCAGTCTATAAAGGAATATTTAAAGTGCCTAAAATTTTAGAACTAAGTATAGTTGCCAAGAAACCATAGGGAAAAAAGTGTGTTTTATAATTTTTTGTTTTTGTTTTTGTTTTTTGAGACAGGGTTTCTCTGGATAGCCTTGGCTGTTCTGAAACTCATTCTGTAGACCAGGCTGGCCTTAAACTCATGGACATCTGCCTATCTCTCCCTCCCAAGTGCTATGATTAAAGGTGTATGCCATCACCACTCAAGAGATCTCCAAAAAATTTTAATGAAAGGAACAAAATGACAAAAAAAAATACTTCAGTAACACACCATTTCATCAATTAAAGGGTTAAAAAGGAGGAAGTACATTAATACATGTATTGTACAGATCATCTCTGGACAGAGTCACAGAAAACCATCAATACTTATTGCTTACATGGACAGGCCTAGATGACTGGGAAATGCTTAGAAAAACAACTCTAATGAACAGTCTATGTTCCTTTGGGCCTTGTATGTAGTATTGTTTTCATGATCCAATAAACAAATTATTTCTAGGGGACGGGCAAAGTGAAATAGAAAGACAACACTAGCATAAGATGTATTTTACACAATTACAACTGAAAAGGGCAAAAGATATTATAAGTAAATTAAACAGGTAAAAAGAATTTAACAGGCATATAATCAACAGCAATGTCTGCTTCAGAGTATATGAGCATCTAATAGATGAGAAGGTCTCAGGTCCAGAGATAAATTCCAAATAAAGTGACCCCCTGGAGACAGATTCTCACTCTCATCCTTACTGGCCTAGAGCTCTCTGTGTAGACCAGGTTGGACTTGAAATCAGAGATCTGCCTGCCTCTGCCTCCCAAGAGGAGGGATTAAAGACAACTGGCACCATGCCCAACCAAAGACAAGTTTCTTAATAGAGGTAAGAAAAAGGAAAAAAGGGAGGAAGAGGAGGAAGATGAAGAGGTGGTGGCAAAGGTAAACTGAGTAGAAGGTGATCTAATATTACAGTACTGGTAAGCAGAAAATATGAAGAAAAAAAGTATGGCCAACAAATTTAGAGATCCCTTTCTCTTTGGCTTAACATTAAAAAAAAAAATTCAAGAATCCAAGTTTATATTCAGTCAAGACCCCTGAATTTTAGGTTAATTCCTTCCACCATTCTCTATCCTTTAAAGAATAATGTATGCAGTTGAAAAAGTGTCACATTTCTGTTTAATAGTATAACTTCGAATGAGAGGTCAATTACATGTCATCAAAAATATACTTGTAGCTAATCATTTTTTAAGCTTTAATATCAACTAAAAGGCACCAGTGAGAGGGAAAATTAAGTCTTATCAACCATTAAAAGTAGCAAGGCAACTCCACGTGACTGACAGTAACTTCCTAGCAGAAGAAACAAGGAGGTCAAAATGAGAGAAATGTATGCATCCTTTGTTGTCCTTTGAGGGTCCATTAGTTGGCTTATTTTTAAGAGTAATGCAACCAGTGGAAGGGCCTTCATTTATGATTGAGTCTACAGGTAAAAAAATGGCATCTCTGAAAGCAGAAACTTTGGCTAATGCTACACAACTTACATACAAGTAACTACATCAATAAAGACTTTGGAGGGGTTAAAAATTAAACCCAAAATATCACGGGAGAGCGGGGAGCACATCATACATTTATCTCTAGTTAAATTACTAATGAAAGAAATGTTCAAACTATTTTAAATTTCTCTGAAACACACACATTTCAATTGCTTTAGTTGTACTACCTAGAGAAAGAAATTTCAAACAGTATACCACTATATTAAATTTAGGCGCTGCCTAAAATGTAGTTTATGTAACTCACTATTAATATTAACTGGTTAAAAATCAAGACAGATGATGTAAGAAAGCAGTAGACTGCCCGACTAGAAGGCAGGCTCAAAGTTTAAAAAACTGCCCATTACTACAGAGATCAAGTCAGAAGAAACTGAAAACTCTGAGGAAAAGGAATCTGGAAAGAGCAAGTCATATCTGGATACTACATATCCCTGAGGAAAAGGGCTGCAGTCATATTTTGATGCAAAAATCACACTAATACCCTGATAACATAAGAAACATATTAAAGAGTTATCAGTGGGAAAAAATCAATCAGAATAGTAATGCCACCAGGGTTCTTAGTGCTGGCTGAGTTTAACAAGCAAAGTCTCTGAGAAATGAAAGAATCAAAAGAATGATGAATCAAACAGAAAAACAGAACTGTGATGATTAGGAAAATGAAAAAGTAAGCAATAGCTGAGCATAGATGACAAACATTAGATATGCTTTTGCAAACGTAATATGCCATAATTATGCTTATATTCAGTACATAATCATAATGACCACCTTTAAATTCAGAGAAGATTCCAGAATGGAAATTAAAAAGTAGTTTTGGTATTGAATACTTCAGTGTTTTCACCTGATGATGAGCCGTGTATGGGGGTGGGGGGTGGGGGGTGAGAAAGACAGAACTCACTTCAGGAATGTAAGCCAGTACCAAATGTGTTAGATGTGCAAGTACACTTTTTTAAAGCCTGGATGTCATTTCCTCATAGACTATACTATATATTTCACTAAGATTTACAGCTTTGTTTTTACTATTTCAGCCTTGGGTGCTAGATTAGAATGCAATGAGAGAGAGATTGTAAAGAGGAAAGCTTAAACTAATAGTGAACACAAATACATAAAGATATGATAGAAACAACCAAAAGAAACAATATTAATAACTTAAGTAATCATATAACCTAAGAGGAGAATAACCTGAAAAGTGAAAAAGAGTATCTAAGAAATGTTATTACCAAAAAATAACAAATCGTGGACAAAATAATCACAGCCTTAGCTTTCTCTCTGTTGTCTTACACTAACGCACTCTTCGAAATCCAAGAACTGCATCACAGGAAATAACCTACTGTGTAGCTAGAACTACTTATACATTATTATTCCACTGATGTTTTGCACAGGAACTTGCTAAGTAAGGACTGATTGCTACAACTGCGGTCTGTGTTCTTCAGATTGGAGGTTTCCTCTCTGTCCTCTTTCTGAGTCTCTACCTTCTGGTGCTCAGTTCCTTTCATAAGGAAAATGAGAATCCAAAGCTGAAGCACTTCTGACCTCCTATCAAGTTTCCCACTCCAGGTTGAGGTACGCCTGGCTCCCTTTCTCCATTTGGATCAGGACTCTGTTGCTGGCCACTTTGCCGGTTCCACTCTGGTTCCTAGCAAATGCCAGGCTCACCTGGAGAGCAAGTGAAAAGAAAGGCTCACATCAGAAAAATAAAGCCAGATTATCAAACTCTGCAGAGGAGAGCACCTGAGGTATCTGAGCAACCCTCCAGGAAAGGTAGAGATCAGTGAAGACAGGGAGGGTAGGAGGATGAAGGTTTACTGCAGTTTATCATACTAAGCTTCCAGAGGGGACAAGAAAGGGGGAAAACTAAGCCAATTTCATTCAAACGCACTACTTCTGGACGAGTGCCATCTAGTATTTAGAAGCAGGAAGCAATTTATTGTTTCTAGATAAAACTTATAAAAGGTTTGGCAACACAGCATCTTAGCACTGCATTAGATAGTATAAAGATGCTGGACCTGACCTTGAACAAGTGAGCCCACAGAACATGTTTCATACCAAAGGCTAGAGGGTGACATTAAGCTTGGCAACACTCTAAAGCTAAGGCATTGCTTAATTCCAGAATCCTAGATTCTACCCACATTCACCTCCAAGTGAACGGCAAGGGAGGATCTGAATAATGATGTCCCAGTGGAGGCTTTTTGTACTCTCTTATTTGAGATAATCCACTGATTTGAGAAGAAAAAATGGTAGTGAAGTTCACTAAAACTCAGTTCTTTAGCTATGGGATGAAAAAAACTTGGCCATGGGATTTATTAGAGAACTGAGCCATCCAATTTCATTTGGGCCATACAGTATCAGTCTCTTTCTGAAAGAAAAATGGCAAAAACCTTATTCCAAAGATGTTCTACTCTATCTTACATTTAGCGCTGCCTACAACTCACAAAGCAAGGAATGCCCTCCAAGCTTTCCAAAACACATCTAATTATTTGAAGGCATGGCAGAGCAATTATGTCTCCTGACTTCTCCCTGAGTATAACTGCCCTTAACTGCTTTGGTGGTGACGGATGTTACCCAATACTCAAGCCACAGAGAGAATGCCATGCTGTGCTTAACATGCAGAAGGAAGGCTGGAGACAACGACCCTCAACACTAGATTGGTTACTTCTCAGTGTTAGATAGCTAAGGTAAAAATTCATGAAGCAGTCACTTCAGAGGAATCATTTTTCAGTCTTTCTTCCCAATTACTAGTCTGGACAAGGGTGGAATCTAGAAATTTAGATAAAAGCAAATCAGAGATTTTGAAGGCTTGACCTAAGTAAGTTCTAACATATTATGAATCACAAAATGCCATAGAATTTCTGTGTCAGCCAGAAAAGGGCACTGTATATGAACATACTATACTGCTTATAGAGAAGAGGACAGGAGAATGTAGAGACAAGGAGATTCGTTTCTCAAGATTTTTCATTTTAAGTCTGGAAGATTCTGCTTTATTTCTTTAGTGCATAAGAAAGTAGAGACCTCTGTAAGCATCTAATAAGAACTGCCCACCTGAGAGTATAAATGGCACCACTCAACTACACATTACCAGAGACTGGAGAGCAACATTTCCATAATCTGTAATGAACAAAATGGCCATCTTCCCTAACGCCCTGTTCCTACCAACTATTTCAAATGATAAACTGCAGTAAGTCCCCTCTTTTGATCCCTCTGGTCCTCTTGGCAGGTTGCTTAGTGGCTCAGGCTCTCTTCTCTGCAGTGTTGGTCATCTGGATTTCTTTTTTTTTTCTGCGAAAAATCTCTCTTCCCTTGCTCTCAGGGTAAACATGATTTTTCAACTGTCTGGTGATTCTGGACTTGGATGGAGACCAGAATTATAATAATCCAGGAGGTAGCAAGCAAAACAGAATCTTAATTCAAATAAACACAGGGATTGGCAAAGGTCAAACTGGAGAAGAAAACTGATGGGACAGCGAAGTACTCTACCTTTGCTGGATTTCTTCCTTCTCTTCTGGAAGAAATTCATCACCACAAGAAAGATGTGAAATAAAGAGAAAGATGGAGCAGGAGGAGAGAAGTATCAAGACAAAGCATTAAGACTCATAAGTCATCTGCCATGACCTAGCCAATAAGGAACCTGGGACAAGGACCGTCATTTATTAAATGTCTCAAACAAGAGTGACAAAGGAGGTGTGAATTACCTTATCATTGGCAAATATTTCTCCTATCTTCAGATCGACTTTCAATTTGACCAAATTTTACAGCTTCAAGTTATCTCTAAAAGGCCTGTGCCCTTCAGATTACATACAATACTTTGGTGAGAATTAATGGGTTATAGGTATTTGTCGATAACTCAGATATTAAAGGAATCTGCTACTGAACAACCAAATTAGTAGCAAAAGTTTAACTTTACCCAGGAAAAAAAGTATTTTTAGAATTCCAGATACTCAAAGGCTATGAGTTTGACGGCTGGCTCCTTTTACTGTAAAAGTTACTCAATCCTAGGGGGCTGGAGAGATGGTTCAGTGGTTAAGAGCACTGGCTGTTTTTCCAGAGGACAGGGGTTCAATTCCCAGCACCTACATGGCAGCTCACAACTGTCTGTAACTCCAGTTCCAGAGTACTCAACACCCATGGCAAAACACCAATGCACATAAAATAAAAATAAATTAGAAATTAAGACTAGAAAAATTATTTTACAAAAACATTCAATCCTAAGGTGCTAAACTCTCTGTATAGTCCATTAGTAGAAAATCAAACTTAAAGCCAAAAGATCTCATGGCAAAGTTTCCTTGTGGGCTCTTTCAGTGTAGGAGAGGGCTAGTAAGACCAGGTCTGATTATTGAGTTTCTAGGCCAATCCATGTTATACATACACCATCTTGAGAAGGCCAACAAGAAGTCTAACAATGCCCCCGCCCCCAAAGAAACGTCATATAGTTTGAAATAGGCTCCTGGTTATGACAACTCCTAGAGCTAAAAATTCAAATAAGACAAACTCCAACAAGTATTGATCAGGACCTACATGTTAACAAACCTATACAAGCAGCTTACAAGGCAGTTATCACTAATACCAATATAAAAATCAAGCCTTCATATAGATTAAGTAACTCATAGACAAAAAGTTTTCAAGAACAAAGTTCTAAGGCAAGAAATGAAAATATCCGCACCTGCAGTGTACAATTTTCTTTTCGTTTGAGGAACTCGACAAACCTGGCCACTACTCCTGGTGTGTTGATGACTTCATCAATAGGAGGATTAGGTTCTGTTTCCCCATAAAATAAAATAAAAGATTTCAATACAATGACTTCATAGATCAAAATTAGTCACAATACCCCTTTCTTATCATTCATTGGCCAGCTTTCATGTTAGAAATCTATCCCCCCAAAAAAGGTTAAAATTGAATTTGGTCACTTTCAAAGTAGTGTGGCTTGAAAGGTATCACAAAAACATAAGCTTAAATATTGAAAATTAAGCAAGGGCAGAATTCTTTGTTTTTGCAGCATAAGCAAAATCTTTTTTGTGTGTGCATCCTCAGCGCTGGACTGTAAGCTAAGCAAATTATTATTTATTTATTTTTTAGATTTTATTTTTTATTATGTATACAGCATATATGACAGCAGGCCAGAAGAGGGCACCAGATCTCATTACAGATGGTTGTGAGCCACCATGTGGTTGCTGGGAATTGAACTCAGGACCTCTGGAAGAGCAGTCAGTGCTCTTAACCTCTGAGCCATCTCTCTAGCCCAGCAAATTATTCTTATCACTGAGCTATACTACCAAGAATTCTCTGCTACAGTGGTTCTCAACCTTCCTAATGCTGCGATCCTTTAATGAAGTTCCTTATGTTGTGGTGACCCTCAACCACAAAATTATTTCATTGCTATTTTATAACTGTGGTTTGCTATTGTTATGAATCATAATGTAAATATCTGATATGCAAGATATCTGATATGAGACCCTTCAACACCCTCCAAGGGGTCAAGACCTACAGGTTGAGAACCTCTACTATTTTAGGAAACTCAGAAAGCAGGGAAATCCAAAACCAACTGCTACTAATATTTTGATACACTTTCCTCTGATCTTTTTTTTCAGTACAAAAGGCTTCAATTTGTGTTTTTTTTAATACCTGCCTAGAGAACCTGAATGACAGGATTCTCAAGGCGCTTATAGGACTTCACTTTCTTGTTAGGCACACTAACAAAAAAATGCCAGCAAGAATTGATTAACAGTTATTTGCCAAATTAATCTCACTTTGATTTATTAGAATGAGTATTATCATTTAATAAGCACTTACTGGGTAAACAGATAGGAAATATCAGATAATCAGGCCAATAATTCCAGGAGAGATTTTTCCTTTTATGTGTATGTAGCAATGCCAGAAAAATACAGTTATAACACTTAGGGAGATCCTTGGCAAAGTCAACAGCTTTACTGTAAAAGGTAAACCAAGCATGGTGGTTCACCCTAATAATCCCAGCACTCCAGAGGCAGAGGCAGATCTGGAGTTCAGGTTATCCTCCTGGAAAGTCACAGACAGCCTGTGTGCTATATTAAGGCCATATGTTTTTGTTTTGACTAAAGAGTTAATTAGTTTAATGTTGATTTGGAGGGAAGGAGTTCTAGTAACACGTCCTTTGCCTGGCTCAAGAGTCTTATCAATCACTCAAACATAACAAACTTGGTAACAATAAAGATAAACTAGTTAATATTCTGAATTATAGAAACATTGTATAAAAATGAGTAATACACCAAAAATGACAATAAATTAGGAAAATAAAACAAAGCAACCCTTTAGTTGTTTTGTTTGTCAGCACAGGGGATAAACCCCAGACTCTGTGCATCACAGGCAAGCAGTCTACATTAAATTACATTTCTAAGCCACAACAGTTGATTTTTTTTTCTATGTTAAGATGTGGTCTCACTATGTTGCCCAGGTTAGCCTTAAATTCTGAGATTCCTGTCTCCATCTCCTGGACTGGCAGGCAATTAAGCATCCAGCTTAACAATTATATGTTTTCAGTACATATTTTAAATTTACTTATTTGTTTGTCTCTCTATGTGTGGACCCATGTAGCATGGCACATGTGTGAAGATAATAACCTGCAGGAGTTGGTTCACATCAAGTGCGTTCCAGAGATCAAACTCAGGTCATCAGTCTTGAAGGCCAGTGCCTTTATTACCTGAGCCACCTTGATGGCCTAGTCACTATATTTGTTAAAAGGCTTTTTTTTTAAATCCACATGAGCTCATTGTCCCGAGCTCATTAGGTTCTGTCAAGTTGACACAGTTATCTGGTCAAAGAATCGCAATTGAAACGTTGGCTATATAAGATTGGCTTGTGGGAGATTATCTTGACTATTAATTGATGGAGGAGGGCCTAGCCCACACTATATGTAGCACCATTCTCTAGAAAGGTGGTCCTGAACAGTGTGAGAATGCAAGTAAACATAACAAGCCTACCTGCTAGCCTGCAAGCAGGACTGCCCATAGCACGTTCCACACTTTTTTACCATCAAGTGTTTTCTTTGGCATGGAATACTCTACGATGGACTTATTCCCTAAGTCTCACGCATTAACACTTGGTCCCCAGCTGATAACATGCATGCCATGTGCTCTCAGCTTCCTCTCTATGGTCCCAGCTGTGAGCTCTCGGTTGCTGTTCTCTCTAGTCTCCTGCAGCATGCTACTACCCCTCCACCATCACGGACTTGAACCATCTCGAACTGTAAGCCCCAAGTTTATCACAGCAATAAAAAAGTAACTAAGTCAAATAACCCGTTTTTCCTAAGTTGCTTTTGGGTAAGAAGTTTTATCAAAGCAACAACAAAAACCTAGAACATTCAAAACTACAGTTCATGAAGTAAAGAGTTTTCTTTGCTGAAAATTCAGATAGATAACTATGCCATGACCAACACTGTTCTCTTAAACTGACAATGAAATGAGTAGTCGAAGTCTCTCATCATCAACCACTGCAATAAACACATCTATGGTACTATGTTCTAGTTACCACATTTTAAAGAAGGAAGCTGGCAAACTAGAATACATGGAAAAGCAATAGTTATGAATGCCTTTTGTGGGAAAATCATGCTAAAAAGGGACAGCCCACAGAATTTTACCACCTTATGTGTATGTTACAGTGGTAGATATTTTAATGTAGCTATCACCTCAAGATATAAAAATTTTAAAAAACTAATGATTTTAAACAACCATAATTTACCACTGTATGGTTTACTATTTGCTAACAATCTTTTAATATGGCTTACAATTTTTTTACCTGCCCAGAATAACAAGTACTATATGCCAGTGTATACTAATTACACAAAAAGAAGAATTATCCTATTCTGCAATAAATCTATACTTAACTTTCAGTGGTAAACTGCTAATATTAAAATTAGTAACTACTGTTCAAGTAATTTTTAATAAAGAGCAGAGCTTCTCAATTTCAGAGAGCATAAGCTCTTGATTATTACTTACTACAAGGTCTTTTACATGACAGCCCCAAATGAAATGTTCTAGTAAGATCCTATGAATAAGTAAGGAAAATGAAATGCAAGGACTCAAAATTCTACACACCGATATGCCTCTTTATTTTTCTACTCACATAACACACTACTCCAAAACAAATTACCTAGAGCTGTAGAAACGGGGTTATGGACAAGGAATAATTTACACAGAGATGAAAAAGGAAAGTCAATGTATCCAAGACTTACCTTTTGAGAGTAGTTTCCTGAATTTCTGTGTTGCAGAAAGCTGCTGCTCTGGGCTATTTGAAAATATCATCTCAATCATGTCAGAGGTAATGACCCCACCCTAGATCAAAGATAAGCAAATATAACACAATATTAACCTTAGTTCAGTGGAAATAAAATTAAAGAAAAAACATAAAATCCTATCAAATTAATCACACATTTCCAAAAGCTATACAAATACATAAATCTTTACATGCAAAACTATTTAAGATCATACTAATGTGATGAGGTCAGACTTTATTATTAAGAAGCTCATCATAGTCGGGCGGTGGTGTCTCAGACCCCTAATTCCAGGACTCCGGAGGGAGAGGCAGATGGATCTCTGAGTTCGAGTCCAGCCTGCTCTACAGAGTGAGTTCCAGGACAGCTATGGCTACACAGAGAAACTGTCTCAGAAACTAAAAAACTTAAAAAAATAAAAGAAACTCATGATAGTGAGAAAGCTATCCAAGTAGTGAATGCTGAAAGAGGCATATTATCATTCTTCACCTAGCTTCTCACATTAGTGTTACCAAAACTAAATATTAGAAAATTTAAAGGTTGGGCTAGAGAGACAGCTCAGCAGTTAAGAGCACCGGTTGTTCTTCCTGAGGACCCAGATTCAAGTCTCAGCATCCACACAGCAGCTCACAACCACCTGTACCTCCAGCCCTGGGGGATCACAAGCCCTCTTCTGGCCTCCAAAGGCACCAGGAACTCAAGTGGTATACATGCAGCTAAAACACCCACACGCATAAAATACAAAAATTTTAAGATCTTTTTCATGACCTCTGAATCTAAAGCAATTTTTCTATATCTCTTTTACATCGGTCACTTCTATTCTTTTTTATTTTTGAGAAGAGGTATTATGGTGACACAATATTTGTGCTCTAACAAATAATGCTTGCCTGAAAATCAGAAGGAGCTAGCCATTAGTTAACTATAGAGGTCTGGAGGTCTGTACAAACAGAGAGGAAGTGATAAGGCGGCGGGGTGGAGAGAGGAGCCCAGCCTCTTTTTGGCTGAGGATTTCGTAAAGGTAAGAACTAGTGGCTGGCTGCTCTGCCTCTCTGATCTTCCAGCATTTACCCCTATAGCTAACTCCGGGTTTTTATTGTTAAGACCGATTAGGATTTGTGCAACAAGGTATCATGCATCTCATGCTGGACTCAAATTCTCTATGTAGCCAAGGACAACATTGAACTTCTGATCTTGCCCCCAATTTCTGAGTGCTGAACTTACAGGCATAGCCACTAGACCTGATTGATGTGGGACTGGATATTGAACTCACAGCTGTATATATAATATACTAGGCAAGCACTCTACTGAGATATCCCACAGCCCCAGCATACCACATACCAAACTCACATCACTACTAGATATTTTCCTGGTTATTTGTTAACACCTGAACTTCCCAGTTTATTATAATCTCCTTGAAAGCAAATAACCTTGCCTTTTGTGTTTATTTTTTCAACAGATGTATAGAGATATAAAATTGGATATATTAATAGGATAGCATTAAGTAATTCTATACACATCAATCACTACTACTGAGAGCTGTCACATAAGAGATGAGATATTCAACTAACACTTAGTAAAGGAGTTGGTATCCAGTTTCTAACCACTGCTAAATTAAAAAATTGACTCCTTAAATCCCTACTGTTTGTCTTAAAATTTTGTTTCCTACATGTTACTGTTTTATTAGGACTTTCTATTTCTCACTACCATCTATGTTTAATATCAGCAGTCAGCTTCCTCCAGATCATTCATTACAATGAAACAAAGTTCTTATTTTAAGAAAGGTTACAGTTGTAAGGCAGTGGTGGCACACACCTTTAATCCTAGCCCTCAGGAGGCAGACACAGGTAGATCTCTAAGTTTGAGGCCAGCCTGGTCTACGAGAGAGTTCCAAGACAGCCAGTGCTGTTGCACAGAGAAACCTTGTGGGGAGGGAGGGAAGGAGGGAGGGAGGGAGGGAGGGAGGGAGGGGACAGACAGATTACAGTCAGTAAGATGAATTATAAAGAAATGTGCACTGAGTTTTAGGAAATACTATGTGGCTGACAATAAACCTCTAACACTTGAAAATCATTAGAGAGCCATTTGTGGTGGCACAGGTCTGAAACCCCAGCAAAGACAGGCTGAAGCAAGGGAGTAGAGAATTTAACACCAGCTATCACATAGAGAGATCCTGTCTGAATTCCCACAGAGAGAACCACGAAGCATTCTGCTTAAGATTAGAAAAGCCACTGTTTTCAACATAGCAAGACTGAGTAAACAAGTGTTTAAGGGACTGCTACAAATGTCTTCGAATGTGCAAAACCAGCTGTATATCTGTGTGCATGATAGTATTATAAATGTGGCAAACAACTATCTTTTTCTCCCACCCTACCCACTCCCCCCCTTTTTTTTAATTTTATTTTTAGAGACAGGGTTTTTCTGCATAGCCCTGGCTGTCCTGGAACTCACTCTGTAGACTAGCCTCGAACTCACAGAGATCCACCTGCCTCGCTGGGATTAAAGGTGTGTGCCACCAACACTGGACTTTTTTTTCCCTTTTATATCTTCTCTTATAGCTGTACAGATTTATATCATGGTATTTAAACTACAGGACATCAAGAAGAGGAGTGAACATTACCTTAACTTTTTGCATCCTCTTCTAGGGAGAAGGTTGGTTATATAGAAAAGATATACTGTTTTAGATGAAGGAACAACTTTGTTATCTTTATCTGAAGCTCAAAATGGTTAAAAAACAATAAAAAGTGTATGTATGCCTAACAAATAAGGAGTAGATTCTGATAACTAATTTCATGTGTCAACCAGGTTACCTAGACAAATACAAGTCTAAATGTTACTCTGAAAGTATTTTAGATGTGATTAACATTTAAATCAGGACAATTGAATAGAGCAGATTCTAAGATTGGTCTTCATACTGTGGAGTGACCTTAATTAGCTAAAGGCTTTTAGACCGAGGTTTCCCAAAAGAGAAGGAATTCAGACTCAGATTTCAACAGTGATGCTTCCTGTGTCTCCAGCCTGCTGACCTGCCCTCCAGACTACTTGGTTGCCAGCTCCCATCACAAAAGCCACTACCTCAGATCTCTTGCTCCCCTTGCTTCCTTCCCCGCCTCCCCACCTCCCTCTTTCTTTGCCCCTCTCCCTGGTTCTTTCTCTTAGAAACCCTGACTAAGACATCTAGAACACTACATTCATAGGAAATAAAGAGGTGACTCAGCAGTTAAGAGTACATACTGCTCTTGCAGAAGACTCCAGTTCTGTTCCTAGAACTCATATTGGGCCACTCACAAGTACCTGTAACTCCCACTCCGGTGGATCTGATCTTGTTTCCAACCCCCTCAGGCACCCCAACACAAGTATGTATCCACACACAGACACATATTTAAAAATAAATACTTCTTTTTAAAAAATTACAGTCTGGGCCAGGCGGTGGTGGCGCATGCCTTTGATCCCAGCACTCGGGAGACAGAGCCAGGCAGATCTCTGTGAGTTCGAGGCCAGCCTGGTCTACAGAGCAAGATCCAGGACAGGCACCAAAACTACAAAGAGAAACCCTGTCTCGAAAAACCAAAAAACAATATTACTACATTCACTTAGTATCCCTTTAATAGTTGGACTGACCAACTCTCCTCACCACCTTCCCCCTCCCCCCAGGTTTCTCTGTGTAATCCTGGCTGTCCTGGAACTTAGAGATCTTCCTGCCTCTGCCTCCCCAGTGCTGGGATTAAAGGTGTGCACCACTAACACCACCTGGCTGAGAGACAGACCTTCTAAAGGCCTAAGAAAAATTTACCACAAACCGATTAAATTGTTGGCCATATTTTCGTCAGTTCTAAAAGGAGTTACAAATGTTCAGGAAACCAGTTCCTCCTAAAATCCCTCTCGGCTTAGGCAAACTATAACATTTCCCACAAGTTTGCAAACAGTCCCTTAATACATTCTGATCAAATTAATGTTTGAGACCACCATTCATGGAGCTAAGATACAGCTCATTGGCAGAGTTCTTATCCAATATACTTAAATTCTGGGTTAATGCAATTGCACACAAAACTGCTTCTTTTGTTTTCTAATGAAATCTTGGATGGGACAATTGTTGTTTCTACTCAGAGATAAGTACTATAAGCATTCTGAAATACTTCCTTAGCTATAGTTACTTTTAAGATTGTTTATATAATAGGTTTATAACTTACCTATGTCTGTATACATCTTTATATTTTTTTTACCCATTTATAATTAGTTTAACAATGATCTATTATTAAAATAGTCCATTTTTCCAAATTGTGGTTTACATTAAGTACATTTTATTTCATAGTATGGATATGGCTTGAATTTATTTTGAGATATACAACTTTGTATCCATTTTCTTTTCATCTCAAAAATTTCACTGATTCCTAGTTGTTTGGTCAGAATTACAGTATACACTGGTGAGTCTGTATATCTGTGATTTATTTTGGGGTTCTCTTGGTTCACTTTTAGAAAACAGATGCAATTGGTCAGTGTCTCACCACTTCATCTTGGGGACCAATCTCAAGCTAAGCTGCCTCATCGACATGTAAGTTCCTCTCCGTTCCAAGTTTAATCACCTCAGTGATGACTTCTCTAAGGCTTTTTTTGTGGGGGAGGGTTCTGTTTAGCCCTAGCTGTCCTGGCACTCACTTTGTAGCCCAGGCGGGCGTCGAATACAGACCCACCTGCCTCTGCCTCCCGAGTGCTGGGATTAAAGGCGTGCGCCACCGCCGCCCGGCGTAAGACAGTATCTTAACACAGGCTCATTAACTACTAATGTACCCCTCTGATGGTGAAGCTGATGAAGGAAGAAGCTATACACTGGAGGTGGGGGGTGACAGAGGAGTACAAGGAAATCTGTTGTTTTTTAAACTGTTTTGCTGTGAATCTAAATGTTCTAAAAACTTCATTATATCTATTAAAAATTCTAAAAGAAATTATACTCTGTCAGATCTAAAAGGAGCCTTATTTATATAAACTGAAGAACTATGTAGTAACATAAAAGACATCACATGCCACCATTTGTATAGGAAAAAGGAGAAATGTTTTGTTTCATACACAGAGGTTCTCCTAAAGAACAAATGAAGAGTATTAGTGGTTACCATGGGAGAAAATATTTGGTGACTTAAGTGGCAAATACTTTAAAAAAAGAAAGAAAAGAAAGCAAGCCATACATAGGGCTGCGCTGTGGCTCAGTGGCAATGCTGCTGTCTACCCTGAAAAGGGCCCTGTGTTAAATACCCAACACTACAAAGATATACACATGTGATTTTACTAGAATATATTAATTATTCAAAATGGCTTAGAGAGATGGTTGAGCATTGCACTTGCAATTCTTGTAGGACCTGAGTTCAGTTCCCAGGACTGATATGGTGGCTCACATCTAACTTTAGTTCCAAGGAATTCAGTGTCCTCTTCAGGCCTCCATGAGTATCAGGCATGCACATATATTTACATACATGCAGGCAGAGCCAGGTGGTAGTGGCACACACCTTTGATCCCAGCACTCAGGAGGTAGAGACAGGCAGGCAATCTCTATGAATTCAAGGCCAGTCTGGTCTACAGAGTGAGTTTCAGGACCTAGCTACACAAAGAAACCCTGTCTCAAGAAACCCAAAAAAGGACAATAAATAAAAATAAATACATCTTTTAAAAAAGATTTATTTATCTTATGTTTATGTATACAAGTGCTCTATCTACATGTATGACTTTATGCCAGAAGAGGGTATCAGAATGCACTAGAGATGGCTGTGAGCCACCATGTGGTTGCTAGGAATTGGAACTCAGGACCTGTGGAAGAACAGCCAGTGCTCTTAACCTCTGAGCCATCTCTCCAGGCCCAAATAAATACATCTTTAAAATATATATACTGCTGTGCTATGGTGGTGCATGCCTTTAATCCCAGAACTTGGGAGGCAGAGCCAGGCGGATCTCTGTGAGTTCGAGGCCAGCCTGGTCTACAGAGCAAGATCCAGGACAGGCACTAAAACTACAAAGAGAAACCCTGTCTCGAAAAAACAAAAAATAAAAACAAAAAAACAAAAACAAAAATATATATGTAATGTATATACTGTATATAATATATACTAATTGCTTTCAATGAGACATTTTCATAAATGCATAACATATTTTGTATGATGTACTTAAAATTATTTAATTATACTGGAAATCTCAGCAGATCTGAGGCATTTCAGTATTTCTTTTATGTAACCCCCAAAAAAGTTACAATAAAATTACCTAATACTTCTGGTATCTAATTTTCCAAATCATATATACATGTTGGTTTTACTATGACAACTTTGGGAAGGGTACACATGCCACAGGTGCCTATGTAGGTCACAGGATACGAGGGAGTCAGTTCTCACCCTCCACCATGTAAGTCACAGAGATTGAATCCAGGCTTGGTGGACAGCAGCTTTCCCCACTGAGCCATCTCCCCTGCTCCCACCCTTCATTTTCAGTTGACACACTGTATACATTAAGTACAAGATGTTTCAACACATGTATTTTTGCCAAGGGCTGTGGGAGTATACAGCAGGTAACAACTAGTGTTCAACAGGTCGACCTACCAGCAGATGAGTAATTCTCTGTAGAGGAGCCCCACCTGGCAAAGTCCGTGGGGTCACTGGCTGTGGAAACCGGTTGTTTCCTGTCTGTAACTTTCTCATGTGCCACCACTATATCTCCCTAAAAATAGCGGTGGGGTTCTTTCCACAGCCCATTGATAGTGTGCTTTACATCTTTAGGCACACATATAACTGTGGGTGGTCAGATGGTCAGGAAGATGATTTCTGTTTAAGCTGTGTAATTCTGATGAACAGAAATAATACCAGAATATTTTTCTTTACTGACACAAAAAAGTAACAGTATTCTCAGTCTCAACGATAGCTCATTTTAGATTTCAGAATAAATTCAATATAGACTAAGCTGCTCCTGCAGAAAATACACAAGTTCCAAGTGTTTATTGCTAAATCAAGATCAGGCTGTTTACATTGAGATGTAAACCCCCTACCGTAATTGACGCACATACCCCTACTACTCAAGGTTCTGCTAATTAACTATTATTGTTTAGTCCTGAATTTCAATGTCATTTTCTGTCTGGGAACTCTAATCAACTTAGAGCGACATGCTTAGTCAAGCTTACTCACTGGCCAGTCACTGTGACCTTCTTAGCCTGAGAAAAACTGTATGATTTATCATGTGTTAGGAGACTGGGTCAGACTCTGAAATTGTAACATACAACTGTCCAGAGTTTTGGCTGAGAGAGAGAAGGAGAATGAGAGAGTATGAGTGTGGGTGTGTGAAGGGGAGCTATAAAAAGCTATAGAGAGAACTGCTGTGATAAAAGCTGTGCAAGGGTAAGTGTGTGTGTGAGTATGTGCTGAGGAAGGGATGTGAAGGAAGTGTGTAAAGAGCAGTGGAGGAATGAGGGAGATGTGGGAGAGTGCATGTATAAGCTGAGTGAGGATATAGCTATATGGGCAGAGATATAAGTATGAAGTGTGAGAAATAAAAGAAGAAGCATGAGAGGTTAGAAAGAGAATGAGTGAGTAAAGTGAAGAAATTATGTAAAAATATGTGAAGGAATGTAACAGAGTAGAAGGAAGAAATGTGGATAGAAGAGCAATATGGAGCTATATAAAAAGAGATCTAACTGTGCAAAAGAGGCATATGGCTATACAGAGAACTTATGAAGAATGTAGCAGTGTGGATTGTAACTTGGCTATATGCAGAATGTAACAATGTGGAATGGTGGAGACAGATTTTCAGAGAGGATTTTTTTTTTTTGGAGCTGAGGATCGAACCCAGGGCCTCGTGCTTGCTAGGCAAGCGCTCTACCACTGAGCTAAATCCCCAACCCCAGAGAGGATTTTTTTTTTTTTTAAGATGAAGTAAAAGAGTAAGTTACCATCAGAAAGCATGTGTGTTTCCTTATTTTCCTCCTCAAATAGTAAAAAGTCTAGCCCTCAGATACGTAAGAATTTTTCCTAAGCCCTCACTGCCTTCGTGGATGCCCCCCCCATACCCTGGTGGTAGCTGGAGCCTGGCCCCCCAGGCTACCAATATATTTTTTTTTTAAAGATTTTTGTTTTGTTGTTTTTGAAACAGGGTCTGTGAGACCAAGGAAAGCCTCTAACAACCCTCCTTCCTCAGATTCCCTAGTTCTGGGTTTATACAGCCCAATTAACCTTTCTATTAAACTCAAGAAGACCAACATCTCTTACCTTTACCACAACACCAAGGAGTTCTTTTTATTATCATACTTACTGGTGCCATCTCCATGTTATTAATCTGGGCCTCATGAAAGCCACCATCTGACATAACTTCTTCTTCTGTTTCTTCTTCTGCTGTAGCAACATTTCTTCTCTTGAATAACTGAAAAGTAAAAGAATATTAAAAATACAATTTTCACACAAGGGAACTCAACACCTTTTTAATTCTAAAGCTTTGTGCTGCCTTTAGTGTTTCCTGGTAAGGAAAGATGTCAGACTGCTTTCTCTACAGTCTTACAATTAAATCAATTAACTACTACAATATGTATGCCAATACCCAAGGGCAAGCCTCGAGGTGGTGGCGCATGCCTTTAATCCCAGCACTCAGGAGGCAGAGGCAGGAGGATCTTTGTGAATTTGAGGTCAGCCTGATCTGCAGATCGAGTTCTGCGACAGCCAGAGCTATTACACAGAGACATTCTTGTCTTCAAAAACCAAAACCCAAACAAACAAACAAAACAAAAACCTCAAAGGCATAAAACTTAACTAAGAGAGACATGACACACTGCAAGACACAAATATGATGATGATGGTGATGATGATGACGACGACCAAGATGATATAACCACCACCTCCAAGAATGAAAACGGGACCCTGGACATGTGGAAGCTGTTTCCCTCAACACTTGGTAAGTAGCAGGAAACAAGATAGTCTTAACAGTTCTTCGGGAACAAGTGAGAACAAGAATGCTATTGGAATGACTAAACACTTCCATCTTAGTGACCTTCAAGGATAGTATATTGAGGTTTCTAGCCTTGCCAATCTCTAGGAATTCCTGACAGCAAAGGGGGGTCTTTTAAAGCACTCATTACTAAGTCTTCAAAATCCAGTACTGAGCTTGTATCACACATCACAATCGGAACCAGTCACATATTAATTGGCCATTTGTTATAGAAGTTTAGAAATTCAGGGTGAATGAAGCAGCATGAGGCACAGCTACAACTTGAACCCTACAGAACACACTTTGAACATTAATGGTTCAGATGGTATCAAAGGTTCCGTCCAGTAATGAAGACTATCACTTTCTTTACAGTCCAAGTCATATCCACTAAAGTGCTTCAACTACCTATGTAAACTTCAAAGGACTAGAAATGATGCACTAAATGAGTGTATGTTGTCTCTTTCAGTGTTTTTATACACTCATACTTATCTTGCTTCATATATACAGATAAATACACTGAACTTGAGTTGAATTTCTGTCAAAACTTTTAGTATTTCATTTTGGGTTCACAATTATGACAGAACACAGCAAACCCACAGGATAAGCCATATTAACTGATCCAAGAGAGCAGAAAAAAAAATGTGAGGGGGAAAGGGTTCTAGAGAAAAATACTAACAACAACAAATTATCTGAAAAGTTTACTGTTTAGTTGGAATTCCACTTCAGCCCCCCACCCCCCTCTCCAGACCCTGCCCTCAGAAAACCCACCAAACTGTGGTTCCTCCCCCAGAGCTACTCAAAACCATGCATACAGGGTATTTAAACTGCCTTCTGGACAACATCCTCATGATTTTTCCCAGTCTCCTCTCCCAGTCACATCTCTGGGAACCAGGAAGATCACTCAGGAATGTTTTGCCCAATAAACTTGATCTTTTATTTTTAATTTGCTTGATCTGGATTACTGCGCCTATGGAGAGACTTATATCAGGGTACAGAAACCTTTCATCTTGGTGCATTGGCCAGGAAGAAATTGAGTGTTCCCCCGTCCCATCCGTCTCCCCCGACCACCACCCTACCATCCCCCCACCCTACCCTCTTCCCATGGAAAACCACTCCTCTCCTTACAGCCACCAGACTACATCAGCTTTCAGACCAGTAAGTTGCCTGTTCCAAGTCACTGCCTCTAGGGGTCCAGGACCCCTCCCAATTTTCAGGGTAGCCTGCCAAGATGTGGCTGCACCAGAGGCAACCTCTACCCATTCCCACTCAATCAGATCCTCCCTGGATCCCTGGGATGCCAGGACATTCAGGCTTTGGATCTTCCTCTACCCACACAACCCAAAAGCCTATCACTATCACAGTGGACACACTGCTTTAGACTTCGGGTTCCAGCACAGGCTTGTGAGACAGCTGTGGGTCTAAGTCAGATCCCCAAACACCCTTGGGGTATCTTTTACAAAAATCTATATTCAAATTGGGGCTATCTGATACCACATGTCCTGAACGCCTGATTTCCCTATGCACTAAGGCCTGGTCACTATACACTCTTGATAACCAGTCAAGATGACCACCGGGTTGAATTTACCATCATCCATGATCTTGAAAATTTTTGCTGGCATAGAGATAAGTGGTCAGAACTACTCTACATCCACAGGTTTTGGATTCTGAGTTCTTGCTCTTCCTTCTGTAGCCAGGGTCCCATGGCCCAGGTCTTGTTGGCTAGGGTCACGGTGCCTCCAGATTACCACTCATCTGGGAACTAGGACCCTGAACATTCCACGCTGACCTTGGGCCAGAGACACAAGCCCCTCCCCTACTCCCTGCCTACCCATCCCCCTTCTACACTGCCACAAGTTCCATTCAGTGGCAAACATTCCTCCCCTTATCCACCCCTCCCCCATTTTCCCCCCACTGGGACAAAGATGGAGGACCAACTTCCTCCTCCTTACCCACCTTTCTCTCTTCCCCTCTCTCCCACTGCTCCTCCCTATCCTTCAATGCCACCACCTACACCCTGGTCCCCATCCACAACACTGGCCTACCTCCCACCCCATCCTCTCAAGTATCTTCTTATACTCCATCTTGACAGACTCCTGCCCTCCTCAGCCCTCTCCAAGAGGTAGCTGGAACTGATGGAATTGCTGAGTCCACACCCCTCTCCCTTCAGAACCTCTCACAGATAGAAAAGCGGATAGGTTCCTTCTCTGCTAATCCTTCTGTTTATATCAAGGAGTTTCATTATCTTTCCCAAGCCTATGATCTGACCTGGCATGACCTCTATGTCATCCAGGCCTCTACCCTCACACCGGAGGAGCAAGGTCAAGTTCAGACAGGAGCAAGACAGTATGCAGACTAACCCACCTAGTGGACAATATGGTCCCTGCCAGCTACAGAACCCTATTGGGACAACCAACTGGGTCAGAATGGCCACCAGCAGAGGGAACTCATGGTCTGCTGCCTCCTTCAGGGTATGAAAATGGTCTCAGATAAAATTAATTTTGATAAGCTCTGAGAGATTACACAAGCAAGCTGATGAGAATCCAGCCATTTTTCTAAATCAATTACAAGAGACCATGCTTCAATATACTTTCCTTGACCCAGCCACCCCAGTGGGAGCCAAGGGTCCTGGTCACCCATTTCATTTCTCAGTCAGCGCCAGATACTAGAAAGAAATTAAAAAGGGCTGAGGAGGGTCCCCAAACCCCATACAGAAATTGGTAAAAATGGCTTTTAAGGTTTTTAACGCCCAAAAGGAGGCAGCTGAGTCTTCTGGACAGGCTTGCAACAGAAGGCTACACTCCCAAGCAGACGCCTTGGCAGCTGCCCTGAGTCCATCGGCGCCCTCACAAGGGAGACAAGGGAAGTCCACCAGGATCCATTCTGCTGGAGCTCAGCCCAAGTCAACTCCACCAGGAGCCTGCTGGAAATGGAAGGCTACTGGTCCTGGTTGCTGCCCTGACTCTCAGGTACCGACGACGACGACGACGAGGCCATGCTTCATCTGCCAACAGCCTGGACAAAGGAAATCAAAATGCCCACGCACGTGCTTGTCCTCGATGCCATGCCACGGAGGTCCAGCCTCCCGACGTCAGCATCTGAGACTTTAAACTCCTCAGCCTGGCAAAGGACTGACACAGCCTAGACCTAGTGACTCCCACTGCCCTTGCCGTGCATAGGATAAAGCTCCAGGTAGCAGGTAAGTCCACCACCTCTCCAGTGGACACGGGAGCTACCTATTCTGTTTTAACCTCTCACTCGGGTCCCACGGTTCCCTTGCCAATTTCTGTCACAGGGGATGGATGGGACGCCCCTTCCTTTCCACTTAAGACCCTGTCACTTGCCTGCATTCTTGCAGGGCAAGTCTTTTCACACTCTTTCCTAGCCATACTTGCTTGCCCGGAACCTCTACTTGGTTGTAATATTCTCAGCCACTTTGGCGCCACACTCACCTTGGCCCCTATACCCTCTCCTGATTCCCACCCTCTCCCCTTAATAGCCTCACAGGTTCCTACCCTAGACTGTCCTGTCCCTACCCTCTCGTATCCAGGAGATCTTCAAGTATGGGATATCTCCACCCTGATGGTTGCTACTCACCACCAGCCAGTCCTAGTTCACCTTAAGGACCCCTCCTCCCTCCCTTCCAGACCCCAGTTTCCTATTTCTGAAACCCATCACCCAGGCCTCAAGCCATTATTACCTGCCTTTTATCTCAGGGACTTTTAATTCCTATCAACTCACCCTGAAACACCCCCATTGCTCCCGAGTAAGCCTTCCGGTGCTCACCAAGGTGCTGTGGATAGCGCTCTATATAAATAAAATGCTGATTGGCCAGAAGTCAGGCAAGAAGTATAGGCGGGACAAGCAGAGAAGAGAATTCTGGGAACAGGAAGGCTGAGTGAGGAGACGCTACCAGCCGCCATGAGTACCAACACGTAAGATACTGGTCAGCCACGAGCCATGTGGCAAGCTATAGATTTACAGAAATGGGTTAATTTAAGATGTAAGAACTAGATAGCTAGAAGCCTGAGCCATTAGGCCAAACAGTTTAAATAATATAAGTCTGTGTGTTTATTTTATAAGTGGGCTGCGGGACTGCCAGGGCTTGTCGGGACCTGGAGAGAAACTCTCCAGCTACACTAAGGTGCTTACCGTTTAATGCAAGACCTCCACCTCATTAATGAGGCAGTTACTCTAACCCACCCAGTAGTTAACAACCCCTACAACCTCCTTTCTAACACTCCCCCTACAACTTCCTATTTTACAATCCTGGACATAAAAGACAAATTTTTTTACTGTCCTCTACACCCTGACTCATACTTCTTTGCCTTCACCTGGGAGGACCCTGACACCTGGACCTCCAAACAGCTTACATGGACTGTACTCTCAGAGTTTCCGGGACAGCCCTCATTTCTTGGGCCAAGACTTGGCTCGAGATCTTTCCG